TGCACTCATCAAGTTTCGCGTGCATCTCCTTGGTGAACGTACATTTGCTTTGTACACCGATCATGCATCGCTGCGCACAGCGATGAAGAGCCCACATCTGTCCCAACGGATGGCACGATGGCTCTCATTCTTCTCTGAGTACAACTTCGTCGTGCATTACAAGCCAGGCAAGACTAATATTCTCGCTGACGCCTTGTCACGACGTCCCGACTACGATCCTCGGACTGCTCTGAGTCGTCAGGCTACTGATGACGAGGACGATGATGACCGATGTGCAATGTGTGTATCGCTGAACTTAACTCGAGTTACACCCGAGCCGTGTTTATTTGATGAGATCGTCGCAGCTTACAAGGGCGATTCAGATTATGCAGACATTATCGAGTATCTGCGTGCTCCCAGCGATGCTGCACTGGGAGCATTATCCCGAACCAAGCGCGACCACATTCATCGATACAGTTTAGATGGCGATTTGCTTCTGTATCGCATCGACCAATTCGATTCTCCTCGCACGGTGATTGCCAATGACATAAATTTGCGTGCAAGAATCATTTCACGAGTATCACGATGCTCCTGCTGGCGGCCATTTAGGCCGCGAAAAGACTTTCGCGGCTGTGTCTCGAGACTTCTTCTGGCCCTACATGTATAAGTGGGTACTCAACTTGATCCGAACGTGCGAAATATGCCAGCGTGTGAAGCCATCTCCATCGTCACAGGCTCCCTTGCGATCGTTGCCAATTGCAGCAGAGGCCTGGAGATCAGTTTCTATGGACTTCATCTTCGGGCTTGCGCCCGATAGCCAAGCTCGAACGGGCATCTTGGTCTTTGTTGACAGATTCAGCAAGATGACACATCTCGTGCCTGTCCACGCTAAGGTCACCGCGGCAGAGACCGCGGCGCACTTCATCGACGCGGTGTTCCGTCATCATGGCCTTCAGAAAACATTGTTTCGGACCGTGACCCGCGATTTACGTCCGCATTTTGGACATCACTTTTCGAGCTCCTCGGGACAAAACTGCTGATGTCGACTGCGGCCCATCCGGAAACGGATGGACAAACCGAGAGCGTGAACCGGGTCCTCGAAGACGTTCTTCGAAGTTATTCTACGTCATTTACAAGTTGGAGTGCATTTTTACCACTCGCTGAGTTCGCACTCAACAACGCCGTACACGCGTCAACAGGGTTGACGCCATTTTTTGTGAATTCGGCTCGTCACCCTCGTGTTCCTACCCTCCTGGCCGTGGGGCGACCCACAACACCTAGTGGCTCCACTCTGGGGGGGATAAAGGTGATAAACAAGGATCGAGTGCAGCTCACGGAATTTTGAGCGCGAATGCAGTAACCCGATCCAAGGCAAAGACGGCCACTTTGACGCCATCAGACGTGGCGTCCCCATTAGCTCGATGGACTGCGCAGACGTTGATTGACCCGTCTTCGGGTAAGCGTTCGCCTACTGCCAACTACGCGCCGATTGAGTCGGCGCGACCAATTGATGACATGGCTGTGTCGGAATTTATACTCTAACGTCAAGCCATCACCCGGTTTGTACGCGACGCACTACAATCTGCGGTAGACCAATAGAAGGAGAACGCTGACAAACATGGCAGAAGAAACATGAGCAAGCTTGAGATAGGTGATCAAATATTATTATCTACGGAAGGTTGAAGGGATTCTGCGGTCACTAACCTGGGCGCGAGTAAACTCGCGCCACGCTTCATCGGCCATTCAAAAATTTGAAGGCAATTGGCGACGCTTATACACTCGACGTCCCCTCTTCATTGCGACTCCGCCCGACATTGTATGTCGGGCGGCTAAAGGAATATTGTCCGGCTACGCTTCACGGTTTGGCTCCAATACCGGCTTCCCCGTAACCCGGCTTGTCCGTGAGTCGATCGGCTCTCCCGTCGTGCTCGACGCGCCAATGACATGGGGCGCGTTCTCGATCCCGTCTGCAAATGACCAAGCACCTGGCGCTCCAGAACCCTTATCCGTTCGAGCAGCTCACGGTTCGACTGCCGGGTCTCACTCGAAGTCTTCTCCGCCCGGGCAGCACGTTCACTGGCAGCATCAGCCTCCAGCCGAGCATCGGCAGCTATGTTCACGGCCTGATCAACATCGTCCTGAGCAATTAGGACGCCAGCATTACCATCGCGAGGGCCCTCCTCCGCTTGTTGATGCGGAGGGACAGGTGCGCTGGATTGTAGACCGCATTGTGGGTCACGAGGACCCTCCGCAACCAGCACTGCAGTCGGCTCATGAGAAGCGCGCGGTTTCATCCGTGCGCAGGTACCGAGTACATTGGCTTGGATTCCCTCCCGAGCAGGATACATGGGAACCACGTTCCTCGCTTCTTCGTGACGTTCCAGATGTGGTTCTGTCGTATGAAGCCACGAAGTCGGGCTATTCCAATGTGGGCGAGCACGCGAACGCTCTCGTGACAAACGAGAATGGTAAGGAGATCCACGTCGTCGGGAACGGGAACGATGACGCGAACGAGAACGATGTCGTGAACGAGAACGATGCCGTGAACGAGAACGTCGTGGTGAATACACATTATCACGATTGCGAGGCGAGATTTGCGCAGAAGGACGGGCAGGCGAACGTGTCGCTGCCCTGCGCTGATGATTCCGCAGAGATTGACTCCGCTGTCGCGAGTGATGATGCCAGCGAGGCGCACCACGAATAACTGCGCTTCTCCGTTCGCTCAGACTTCGCTCATACTTTGCAATCCAACTTCGTTCGCGATCGCTGAGTGTACACTCAGCGATGTGTCGTCGCCATTCGTCATGAGTTGGGCGTGGAGTCGAGTCACAAGATTGGCATCCTTCATTGACATGGACGAAGCAGAGACGGTCCTCATTCCAAGCTTCCTCACACACTCGTTCGCGTAGCGCGCCGATGGAGTGATCGGCGCGAAGCTCCTCTCGATTGGCGAGCCATAATTGGAAGCTGCTACCATCCTCGAGCATCCGATTCCAACGTTGGATGAAGGCACACCAAGAACGTTGTAGAGCTTCATGCTCGATTCCATCAAGACCTTTCCCGCGCAGTTTTCGAAATCGGCGGAAGTAGTCCCGCGTCATGTCCAGTGAGTCCGGAGCGTGAGCTCCGGACAAGTCGTACAGTGACCAAGGTATGAGCTGCCGCGCCATGATGCTGGTTGTTGCACTCCCGCTGATGTTTCTTTTGAGTGCTGCTGGATTGGGTGTTGGGTCTCCGGACATTGCTTGTTCATATGTGAGCGACGGGTTTTCGACAGTTGAGCACTCACGGTTGGTGAGTGCTGTCATGAGAAGGGGGTGATGTAATGGGCTACATTACACATATAGTATTAACACAAATAAACAATTACATATGTAGGCAGGTGCTGGGCCCGAATAGCGGGCACAGCGTGGTAATTTATTATTGGTTCATTATTGGGCCTAAAGTCCCCAATATGGACCAATGATAAATCAACCTGAAATTGTGTGGTTCCCGAAAGGCGGGAACACTGTCGTATTTATTACGACTAAAATCTTCGTAATTAGTACGAATTAAAACCAAAATAAAAATCAGAGTTAAATTTACTTAATACCTAATACTTGGGCTTGAGTCTTCCTCGAGCGCGCGTGTAAGCTAGTGACGGTACGTTCTAGCCCTGTTACATTGACGCTTACACGCTAGATATACCTACATATATGCGTTTGCACCCGACGTTCTACGTCAGGCGCCTCAAGGCTTACCTACCGACGGATCTCCCTTCGAATCTTCCCCGCTCTTCTGTATCGGCTCGAAAATCGACATCCCTTGACGACGACGCTGACGACGACTGGGACCAAGTCCTGCCCGAACGCGGCAGACTCGATCTGCTACAAGACCCAGGCGCCGTGTAATGACTCGGGGACGTAACAAAGGTGATACTCGTCACAATTCATGCGACAGATGCGCCGGCGCAGGTCTCCAATAGCGTGTCTATCACGCGTTCCCTCGCGACCGTCTAGCCAGGACGTGAAGGACGTTCCTTCACGTCGGCTCGCGTTCCAGCGCCTGATGAAGGCACACCAAGACCTCTGCAACGCATCGTCGGTATATGCGTTGTTCGTCGCCTTGCCTCTCACTGTACGGTATCGCTTGATAAGGTCCTTCATGACCTCCAGTGGCTCGGGTTCGACAGAACCTTCAAGACCATACAAGCGCCACGGTTTCAAGTCCCCATCCATGACCTGCGGCGCCTGCTCTCTACGGATTGTCGCTTGGTGTTCCCAGTTCTGGTTTTCAAAGACATTGTTTCTTGGACATCCAGGGTCCATGATGCTCTGTTACGTCTAACTGAGCAGGCTCGAAGTTACGCCGTTGGTCGAGAAGAAACTTTCTGCGATTCGCGCTTACGTTGAGGTAAGCGCAACTTAAAGAGGGGGGTGATGTAATGGGGCAAACTAATACATAAGTAGGCATAGGGATAATACATGATTAAATAAGTAGGCATAGGGCAGTATCCGATTAGCGGATACTAGATCGATCCACCCCATTTTATTTTTATCAATCCACTATATTATTATTTAGACAATCTTCCATGCAAGTTGCCCTTTTCAAGACACACACATCACTGTCGTGATTCGTGATATTCTACACGTACAACTCTGCATGCAGCTTAGACAGTCCCACGATCGCGATGGCAATCCCACTTCGCTCTTCATCGCTTTCAGCTCCGAATTAATGGAAATTGCAGCTTGCAATCTCAAAACGTCACGCAAAGCGCGCGAGGAGCTTTCGCTGCTTTAATCGTATTCCCAAAGCTCGGAAACTGATATTGAGTCGCGATTTCTACCTAAAGCAGAGATCGAGAGCAATGTGCACCCTGTCATCAAGACGGGAGTGCGAGAGCTATTTTCGCTGGCGTACCCGGTAACACTCACTTACATGCTATAGTTTTCCCTCAATCGGTGAGTATGGCGTTAATAGGCCACTTGGATTTCCCGTTGACGTAGCAGTATTTGGATGGTGTGGCACTCTCGACTATGTGCATGAATCTAACTGCTATTGAAGTCGAATTTGGTTTAGCCACAGCAATGGACACGCTGTGCTCTCAAGCGTATGGTGCTGGGAAACCGAAATGCTTGGCATCTATCTCCAGAGTGGCTTTAATGTACTAGGTCTCGCTACGATCCTCATGTTTATCATCAACTGGTATACGGAGGCCTTTCTGGTCATGATCGGCCAACCTGCGCAAGTCGCAAAGTTCGCCGGACACTTCAGTCGGGTGCGCATTGAAATACGGATCAAGCACAACGGAAGCACAACGTAAGCACAACGGACAACAAACGCGCGATTGCTGCACCGCAAATTTAAAAGACGTAAAGGAAGTGAGGTATGTACTCTCATCAAGTTTACGAGATTGCTGATCACAGCAATGTGTACCATCGACAACACGACATTCTGGGCTTGCATCACCTTTTTAACCATCTCGTAGACGTACGTGGCGGGAATACCTGGGAGCAGAATCCCGCATTTCCCCGCAGTGGTGGCCCGGTGGGCAAGCAAAAAAAGTGGTGCATTACCTGAGCAACTTTTTGCGTCTTGGTCTGCCGGGCGCTGCAAAGCTGTTAATGCAGTGGTGGTCCTTTGAGATCATGGCGGCTTGTGTGAGTTTGATGCCGAACATGTCATCGCTATCAGCGTGCATTCGGTGATAGTGAACGTGTATACGTTTGCTTTGAACTTTTTCTTCGGAATCTCTGTGGCAGCCAACGTCCTTGTGGGCAACTAGTCAGGCAGCAACAAGCCAAACCACGCGAATATGGTCTCAACGGTAAGTATGATGCTATCTGTGTCATTGTCGGCAGTGATCGCTGTCATTATTATTGCTACACGGTCTCTCATTACGGAGCTTTTTCTCAACGATGCAGTATCTATTGGAATAGCTGGACACGCCTGATCTTTCTAGTGCCGTACCAAATGTGCGATGCCATCAATGCCGTCATGCAAGGGATGTTTTGTAGCACAGGGCGGCTTGCGCTTGGCGCCTATATCAATGTGTTCGCATACTTTGTAATCGGTCTCCCCTTTGGTGTGTACATCGCGTCGGATGGACATTAAGTGTGGAAGGCACGTGGCTCAGCCTCACGGCAGGCATGTTCTTTGGCAGTATCGTGATGTTCGTCAATATCTGTAAGATCAATTGGAAGGGTATGGCTGACGCCGCACGCGTGCGCACAAGCTAAGTGGCTGTATTTACGGATCGTTCGATTAAACCGCTTGAAGCGGTTCTTTCGTTTTGCAAGGATAAGGCAACCTCTCTTCAAGCCGCTGGAATGACGACCGATGTTTTGTCTATTAGCTCCTGATGACCAAGTTTTGTCGATCAGCTCCTATCGTTTGCATGTTTTTTTCGTCGCATCTGAGGAGTTGAACGCTTGTGCGTTTTGCAATTTCAATATAAATGATGTTGTACCTTCAAAACATCGTTTGGTTTTTCCAGTCGTTCAGCCCTTCAATAGTATTCTGTTGATATCTTTGATCAGCCGAAGGAACCGTTCACTTTTGTTGCTGTTACAACTGTAATTGAGTGCATATCATCGACACTCATTTCTGCTTTCAAGCCTACGCTGCTTTCTTAAATGGAGCAAGTAATGTGTTTGGTCATTACTTGCTCCATCACCTTGATCTCTCGTGTGCAATATCACGGACGCCTTCAAGTCTGGTCAGTAAACTTGATCGTTATTTGCTTACAAGCGAAAAGTATCTCAGCCTGTTGACGGATTGAATTAGGTCAAAATCGGAACCATACGTCAAGTAGATTCATAGCAACTGTCCGATTCACGAGCAGTTGCTGTGAATATCAATGTAGACGCGACACCTTTTCTCACGGTAATAATCTGCAACATCCAAACGAGAGGTGGTTCAGACTAGTTTTGAGTCATTCGTGGTGCTACGACAGAAGATCGTTATCAAGCTTCGAGCTTTTGTGTCACCAAGCGTTCGGAACAGTCACATCATGGAAGATTTAGTAAGGCATGACGAATCCGCCACAACTCATTTCCAGCTCGGTGTTGCTTCGAGATTCGACGCAGTCTAAATCAAATACACCCCTGCCTAGAAGCAAGAGGGTCATTATTATATTTTCCTCTGATAGCAGAGACAATACCAAGACCAATCAATGACCATCTCTAAGTTCCTGCCGCCTCTCCAAATTCCTCCGTTGGCCCAAACACTGCTACGGGAGCTAGCGACATCAATAGTCACGCACAACCTGGAGCAATACAACAACCTGTGCACCAATAAGGACGGCCACCCCGACAGTCGAGTCTGCAAACCAACTCGCACGGCCGACAACATTTAAAAAAATCCATCGAGAACGTCCTAGCTCTGCTGACGAGTCTGCAGCAGAAATTTTGCCGCTATTACGCTTGGACTCAGTGGTCGGCAAAGTTGACGATATTATGTTTGCCGTGGTCACACCGACGGATGAGTCTTTGAAAATCAAGTCTGCCTTCTTCTGAGACGGAATTGGTGATAGCAAAGTGCTCCAGGAACTTGTGTATCTCCACCGTGAACGAAAGAATATCAAGCTCGTCGCCATTCTTTATCCGATGATGATCCATATGCGTAGCATCACACGTTTCAGACTTGGTCTTGATCTCAACGAAGATCGGCGAACTTGCACAAGTGGTCGGAGTGGCCCAAGACAAAGCTTACCTAGTTTCATCTTGTCTACTTGCCAGTCCCGTACTATTCGCAGCGTCACGACTGCAGCATATATCATTCCACAAAGTACATACGCCATTGGCCCGAGCATCATTGACCCGTAGTTGCACATTTATGCTGACGATGGGATCGCTTACGTTTCCTACAGCACACACAACAAGATAGCAACGACGAGGGCGAGAGCTTTACATCTATGTTTATAAGCAGTTCAACGGACGCACTTTTAGAACACCTAGCAGGGGTATGAGGTCCATGTCAATGGCGCTTGTGTGATCAGTATGCAGCAGATAAATTCGAGTCTACTTGTCGTCAAACAACTTTGGCAGTCACCCTCGCTAAATCGCAAGCAATGTCAGTACTCCTTCGCAAATGGAACACCACGCATTAACCAATCAAGATGTCGACTTAAAATTACCTGTCGGATGTCCAATACGAAGAAGTTCTCGGTGACGCAACACGTGATACTGACACGGCAACGAAAAAGACGAGGCCCTTACATTTCTACTCGTCACGTCTTCTTTTTTCGCACAAGTTCATGCGCGTCTCTGGCAAAAAAGTTCCTAGAAGGACAGGAACATTGCGTCGCTGACATATCCAAATGCTCGCTCGTCTTCACCACGACTCTGGTGCTCTTGCCGCTTAATTACCCGCAAATGCAATAAGGTCACCAGGGGGTTAATCGTCTATTCTTTACGATCACTTAAACCGAGAGGACCATCGTATAGAACATGATCTTCAACTTTCCGCTGGTTCTTTGTCCTTAAGCTTGAAGCGTGAAGGTGCGCTACTCGCAGGATCGCTGCAACTTAAACAATCACCCTACGAAAGCTTAAAGTAGTTCTGCGTCCGTGAAACACACCAATCTCGATTCGCTGCATTATATCTTAGTTGCGAGCAGCATTTCGCCAAATGATATCATTGTTAGACACGAGATCGCAGCGCAGAACACACACATGAACAGCTTTATCTACAGCTTGTTCTTCAGCACGCTGCATTAGGCATGCAGATATCCCGCAACGTTTTTTCGGCTTCGTAAACGTGTAGATCACACATCATGTCATCAGCACGTGTGTGACACACCCTCGAACAATGACGAAGTCAACTAAAGGATCGACTCTTCTAATGATAAGATAAGTATACTAGTGCCTGGAATACTGTGTATCCATTTCTTCACACTTGGTATACGCTGACATCGGGTCCATGCAGTACTCACCAGCAATGCCGTCGAAAATATCCTCCATCAGCACACGCTGTCAAATGATGTCACGGTAGTCGTAAATGATACGGTATTCCATATACTTGCGCATGCAGAAGAGTGGAGCAGTATACGGATTCCTTTGCAACCATGTCGCGTACCCGATCTATCACTCCGGCGCAGCCCGAGACATCATATACATTGCGGTGTTAAGGCACTTCATATTCATGCAGCGCTCGCAGTTACCATTTATCGTTACCACAGGCTTGAATAGAATATCCTTGAACTCAATGATAACGGAGTACGTGGCATGTTTCTCAAATGACTCTCAGCCGTTTGTGGCTATTTCGGAAGCATCAATGACAAGATCATGCTATTGCTCCGTCCAATAATACGCCCAGTCATTGCCTGAAATGCTGTGTACGCGTCCAAAGGTTTATTCATGAGCTGATCAACCTCTTTGAGCATATAGCCACTCTTGCGCACAGTGCTAGTTGAGCGTAACGTTTTTTTCTTCGACCAGCGACGAATGTCTTTCCTCCATTTCTCTATCTCCTCGTGCTTGAATTTAGCACGTGCGGCCGGCTTGTACCTTTCACCGGACGACCAATGACCTCGAGCTTGGCGCATGCTGCGCGTGTTAACGATTTATTGTGAGCTACTAGCGCGCACAAAGCCGTACTTCTGCTTCTTCCAAGTAGAGATTTTCTGCCGCCGCTTTTTTTGTCACCATGACAAGTGAAGACGAGAGAAAGAAAGCACTGTAAAGAAAAGATACAGACGTAGATGCAGACGTAGGCCAAACTTTCACACAACGGGAAAAGAGATTTGCAGGCCAGTGCATAAGTTCACCAGTTCACCAGATTTTACCCGCCTGCATTCTGGGTGTGATACGGGAATGGTATCACGCCCAGAATGCAGGCGGGTAAAGTAAGTACGAAAGCACATCATTGACGAAGGCTAGAACGCCCGGAGACTGATTAGAAACAGAATTGCGGTTATCTTTCCGGCTGAGTGTCGGCCAATTTGAGCTAACGGGGTCAGTATATTGATAAAAATGTTGTATGCGCTTGCAAAAATAGAAGATGAATACCGTGTATTGCTGAGACTGTCTTTACAATTGGATTGCCAATCCTACTTGACACGTTCACATGTTTTTAATGTGCAACATACTATTTCTATCATATATGGAGAGGCGCCAATTCGTCTTTGTTCTACAAAGGAAGTTTCTGTTTGTCCTGTGTCAGCTTGTTGTAAGTCTATTTCCTCTATCATAGAAAAGTATAAGTATATGATTAGTAGACAATATATAGAAGAACAAGTGCTTCTTTCCCATCCAAAATTTCCCAATTTGCGCCTTCGGGCAACAACGGACAGAAACGGAGACCTTCGAAAGCCAGTGTACTGTTCCCCTTTTCCTTGAGCGTGTCATTCATGCAAAAAAGGTACGACAGATGTTGAACCATATATTTAAGGTTTCGAGATACTGATTCCTTCTGACGTCACTTTACATTCAGCTCAAGAACTTTACAATCCACTTTTACAACTATGTACCTGTACTTCACCACGCTATGTGTGGCTATTGCTGTCTGTCTAGTCGCTGGTTCGCATGCAGCGCCATCCTGGAGCAACCCTAAGTCACCTTATTCTCTGCCTGAAGTCCCTAACAAGGGACATTTGAGGTCGGATGCGCTTGCGCTCGACGAAGAAGAAAGAGGATTTTCACCTAACGCGATACCTTTGAGCAGTATGCTCGAGAAAAGTGATTCATTGACAACGGAGACTATTAGTACTAAGTTTGGGACACTATTACTCGAGTTATTCGATTATGAAGACATACAACTTAGTTTTCTGAAGGAGCAGGAACAACTCAGTCGCATGGGAGAAGAAGAAAAAATGGGATTACTTAAGTTGCTGAAGGAATTAGTGCAATTAGTCGAAAGCGAAGATAAACAGCTTACTTTACTGAATGACTGGGAAAGTTTTTCAAATTCGTTCGCAGATGAATTAAAGAATGTCAAAAGTCAAGCTTTTAAACAATTGCTGATTGGCCGGATAAAGACAAAAGACAACATGAAGACAGTTGCTGACGAGAACCTCAACAAATTGCTGAAGTATGGAAACCGACAGCCGAGGCGTCCGAAAGCGAGCCAGAGTTCAGCACTAAGCGCCTTCAAGCTTGGCTTAAGAATGACGAATCACCAGATAGATTATTTACGGTGCTGGGAATACACAAAGCGGTGGATGAAGCGGCGAACAAATTTTTGATAAGCGCGAATTTGGAAAGATGGAATTACTTTATGGAATTGTTTTACGATGGAGCGGGCCACTACAACTTCGAAGATCAGCTCAAAACAACCCTCCAACCTTTTTGCGAAGATGATTTGTGTATGACACTCTTTTTGGAACGTCTCGTTATCTTAAGAGAGAGACGTAATACTGAGCACAAGAAGTGGCTGAATGAGATGAAAGAACCGCAAGAAGTTTACACACTGATGGAGGTTGATAATGAAGAAAATCAGTTTGTTAAAAAGAAGCTGGCAGCATGGATTACTTACGTGGACGCTTACAACGACTTGTACCCACATCGTCAAACAACTCTGAGTGCCTGTTCGCCTTATTCCGAAGAAGAGTTAATAAAAATGAGCTTTCATGGAGAGACAAGATATCCACAGATAGGTCCTAAAAGGCGGATACTAGCCGATATCCTCAAGTCATGGGCTGATTGATGCAAAGCCCCCCTTTCTCCTGCTGAGGTTTTTAATCGTTTAGACGTATCACCGCAGGGTACAGAGCTTTCAACAAAGCCTTTATCAGGATTACAAAAGTACATGGAATTAATCAATGCCAGAAAACAGCCGAATGAAAAGTCTGAATTTGAGTCGAAGCTGGAGAAACGGATAAATGGACTTCTCAATAAACCGAAAATGCGAAAAAATGCTAAATCGATCGAGCGATTCGATAAGCTTCTGAAAGGTCGTTGGTCAAAGAAATCATCAAAACGGAAATCGAAGTCCTTACCTGATGGTGCACGTGAACGGAAACGATCACGTGGTGATTAATACTTGTCGAGGCATCAGCGCTACCCAAAACAAATATAATTTCTTCTGACATTTATAGGTCCAGCCGGTTCATTTAGTAATAATCAGATTTATGTAAAAACTAAATTGTCGACCTGATACTGTCCTCTTCGGCGAGGGCCTACACAGTCCTGATCGGTCATGGCTATCGTATCACGGACGAGCGTTTTTTGCTGAATACTTTAAAGTCCGGATAGCCCCAACTATTCTGTATTGGGGTTTCATGCTTCTACGAGCGGCCGTATTCACTGGTACCAGGGTTCCCGGGGGTACCTGTAAGGATGGTGTGTGTCACATTGTTTTTTTCTTCTGACATGCTATTAGGCTGATTACATGTATAAGTTTCAATAAAAAAACGATATCAAATGGCTCATAAACGGTAAGAACGCAAGAATCTATTGAAGTTGTCGGGAACTGGCATATATACTTGTGAACAATAGTATTATACGCCGTTTTACATTTTCTTATAAAATTGTCCTTTGCAATTGTAACGGGGTTACACAACGGTTAGAACATCATTCCGAAAGTTTACGGTTGAAGTTTCTATACTGCATATATTGTATACTTAATACTTCTCTTCAAAGAGGTATTAAGCATAAGCGTTAAGAAAATACGGTATCTGTAAGGTCAACATCTAATGGTAAGGGTTGAACAAAGGAAGACCCAATAGGTGCAAGCTATATTCTTCATACACCCGTAAAATGCAACAACATGTGTGCATATTGGCGATCTGCATCATTGTCGGTTCGGGAATAGAATGGGAATAGAATGGGGAATAGTAGTTCGAAGCAATGAGATGTACCATGCGGCGTCCCTTGCTTTTCTCAATGTCAAGCAGAATAATAACGAAGATTGGCAAATAGTTTGTGACACGGCAAAGTAATACCTATTTGCGATCTGCCCTCGTTCTGTATCGATAAAGCATAAACTTGAATCGTCGTCAAAGCAGTAGTGGTCCAAATATAAAGGTTTACTTTAACAACAAAGCATGTCAACCAGCTACTAGACCTTGATTGTCACAAGCTTCAGCAGGAGCTTGTATGTGTATAGGTTGCATTCATTGCAGCTTAGTAATGCAAGTGTTGTCAAAAGACGTCTCGGCCAGCTGATGTGTACTGGTAGATTATTGAATCATGGAATGGCCAGGTCTAGCCAGGCATTATGTGGTAACTGCACAAAGACCAGAACTTAGTCATGTATCCAGCAGTGGTAGTGAAAGAGTTGTGAACTAGGGACATCGATCAGTTTATTCCGCATTTTGCATGCAAGTGTCATTGTAAAAAGCAATAACAGCAGCAGATAGCCATTAAAAGTTGGGTATAATGTTAGGAAAAATTGTAGGAGGTTGGTCCTGGATAGATGCGTTTGGGATGTGGCTAGTCAATGTAGATAGTGAGCTCGCCATGCTTCAGTCAAGCAGTCCGTAGCTGGATAAGTGCAGAGCTTATCCATTTTGTTGCTGAAATAGCTCAAGTTCAAGAGGCCGAGCGCTTCGTAAGTACAGTGAGAGTGCAAGTGTTTGCTGCTCATGCAGAGATATTCAACACAGGAGCTACTTCAGAGCAAGAATGTCAACACCATTGGGATCAAAGCAACTTAGTGGTACGGGATTAAGAGTTTTTAAATTTGCAAGAATGGGTGCTGTGGTGGATGTGGCTGACAATTGATGACACAACTTTGTATTCCACTTTAAAACGTATTGATTGGAGTACGAGGCACAAAGCGACTAGCTTGGCAACAAAATCAATGAGTGTAGAAAAAAGTTTTGGGCGTAGTCGAACGGCACATGTTCGACAATCGACTTTGTAGGTCTGGAGTGCGATTGCTCAAATAATTAAGCTTACTGCTGCAAGCTAAGCGATTTTAGTCAGCGTGTTAGAAGTTCAGTCGACTACATAACATCACTTGTGAATCAAAGGCTGGTAGGGATATATATTGCGCTCGTATGAGTCCGATGCAGCGGAAATTAAGTAGAAGGAAGATACAAATGTGTGGCAACTGATGGAAGTATCGAATGTCGAAAGCGGTAATCGTGGCATCTCTTCTTCCGAAACTCCTTCCGCGATATTACTGCTACATGTTGCACACAGCTCAGCACCGCACCCAGTACATCCAATTGTGACAACTTCCGACTCCTTGATACTGTGGATACTGAGTTCTGCCAAAAAGGAATACTAAGGCTTGGCTCCAATTTTGCCCAGCCCGCTCGACGTACGTGATTTACCACGGTAGTGCGTCTCCTTTCTTGAAGTCAAACATCTCCAGCTTGTCCTCGAGTTTGGCACGTTCAATGATGCGTGCCATACCAGCAACGCTTTCCGCAGGAGACACAACTCCTTTAAAATTCGTCATGTCCGTGTTGACGTACCCAGGATGCAGCAGCAGGCATCCGATCTTCTCCGATTTGAGGTCCAGTGACAGACTTTGCGTGACCATATTGAGCGCCGCCTTAGATGCACGGTATCCGTACATACCACGCGACCGGTTGTCGGAAATGCTTCCCAGGCAAGAGGTGATCTGAGCAACAAAAGCCTCACCACGAGAAGCCACAGCAAGGCGTAGATTGGGCAGAAAAGCGCGAGTCATGAGGAACGGGCCCACGGTATTGACCTCAAATTGACGCATCATGTCCTCTTTCGTCGTATCATTCAGGCCACCACTAATTAAGATCCCACTATTGTTAATGAGTAGATCAATAGCCTTATCTTGAAGTGTCTTAGCTGCTGTCAAAATTGACTGCTCGTCACCTGTGTCCAGTGTGATGAGTTTCCACGGTTTGAGGTTCTTGAGGTCTTCAGCAGAATCTACGTTTCGAGCAGTAGCAATAACTTTCCAGCCTTCTTTAACATAGTGCTTAGCAAAGGAGAAACCAAGACCACGATTACTGCCAGTGATTAGTACAGTCTTTGTCGCCATTATGAAAGATCTTGATCACTAACGAAAGATATTAACCAGCTTAAAGCAAATTTAAAAGTGACAAATGTTGGATTATGGATGATGAGACCAGGCACTAAATTCTAATACCAAATATCAGGAGAAGGATCAATAAAAGGTATTTACATGAGTACATACAATGCGACAAGGCGAGACACAATACTTCTGGAAGTTGGCTAGAAATTCAAGCAACATTCAATTGACATTTCCTTCGTGCAACCTACCGTCTTGTTTCTGTGTTTGATAGTACCGTTCCCGTTGTGAATATGGTGCAGTGGATGACAGTAGCGCAGAAGTTTGAGCTCATTCAAAAGCATCGACAGAATCCGTCGTTATCGACACGAAAGCTCGCATTATGGGCCCATGAAGCCTTTAATCTTCCCACAGGTCCCACAGCTGCCACTGTCTCTCGAGTATTGAAAGCAGCAAATGAAATTGAGGACAAACAGCGCCATGGAATCACACGCAAAGGCCACGGCGTCTCCTGTCCTGAATTGGACGTGGCATTGAAGGATTACGTTGACATTTGTGTCCAGAATCAGATGCAATTGACGCGCAGGCTTTTGGTCGACAAGGCACGTGAAATTTTAGCGCAAATATCTGATGCACCGACACTGAACCTATCGGACGGATGGCTTACAAGCTTTATGAGACGCCATGGGATGGGATTGCGACCACGGTCGCTTCAAACAGATGGAGAAGGGTGTGATGCTGAGAATCAAATTGATTCATTGAGGTCTCCGAGGGTCCAAATAACACCTTCGTCCCGTCCATTGGGACGTAGAAATTTGACAACCACACAACGTCGTGCTCGACCGACACAATTGGGCCTTGTGTCATCTTCCATGCAAAAGATTACAAGTCCATTTCCAGTTTATACAGGACCCAAAAGAACAGTGCTGATTACTGGTGCTGATAACAACACGGGACTTGCATTCGTAAATCATTATATAAAAGAAGGATGGAATGTCATTGCTGCTTTTCCAGAAGGAGAGACACATTGGAAAATGCAAGAGTTGACACCGTGGAAATTGGTCGTTTTGGATCCAGGAAATACACAGTCTGTGGAAAGTGCTGCTGAGACGCTGAAGGATATACCGATTGACCTATTGATTAACAATGCACGGTTTTTCACCAAGGGATACATGCATTCGACGACCCCCGAAGACTGTATCCGACAGTATGAGGTAAATGCCTTGGGGCCCTTTATTGTCGCACGTGCACTCTTGCAGAACATGCGGCTTGCTGTGCGTGATCGTGGCATGGCGTTTTTGGCTAACGTTTCGTCGCGTGTCGGCAGTATTTCGGAAAACGCGTCGGGAGGCTCATACGGATTTCGTGCATCTCTTAGTGCGCTTCATATGTTCACCAAGACTTTGGTTGCAGATTTTCTGCCGCATAAGATTGGGTGTTTATTGCTACACTGTGGCATTGATGACAAGCCGGAAGGACTTCACCCAGCTTCTGTTCGGCCTGAGGAGAGTGTGGCCGGTATGGCACAGGTCATTGCACGGACAAAGCTGGGCGAACCACTTCAACTGCGCCACTTTGGAAACGGTGATGTCATTGATTGGTAAGGTGTTTATCACATGAAAACAAAGTCGTCTATATTATTATTTGGCGTCGTCATGCACATATTCATCAACTGTAAATATACACGATAGCCAAAGCCACGTTCATCCGAAGCTTATCGCTTCTTAATGATAGCTTTGCTTCTGGTGGGAGCACCGTGAGTTTTGCCCTTAATGTTGCCCTTACCTCGCTTCGATCTCACGCCGGAGGTCACCTTGACACCACGTGAACGAGCCTTGCGCTTCTCCTCCTTACGAATCTTGCCCTCCGTCATCAGCTCGTCCTTGGCAAACTTGTTCACGCTACCACGGTCGGCCATGGCTGCGCCTCCACGCGGCTTCCTACCATTGCGGTAATCCTGCTTGCGACTTCCAGCATCATCATCGTCGTCCGCTTCAACACCGCCGCCAGCAACGCGCTTGTGCTGCTTTTGCTGCCATCTATGGTACACCTCTCCCACATGTTGTTTCTTGCGTACACTGACACCGCTCTCGTTACGGCGCTTAAGCGTACCCTGGCTAGTCAACTCGCCAGCAGTGGTCTTAACAAATTTCTTCTTGCGCACATCCCAGTGCAGAATGCGTCGCTTTTTGTTCATTTCGATAGCTTCGTCAGGGTTCACATCCAAGATGGCTTCTTCCAGACGTGCCTCAGCGAAGACGTTCACCTTGCCACCGTCGACATTCTTAGACAGGAAACCCTCGGTAGTGTAGTCTCCATCCTTCATATAACTAATGTAGTTTTCATCATCCTTGAACGATGCGCCTTCACTATCTTCCTGAACCTTGCTACTTGCAGTGCTGTTTGTTTCTTGCTCCTTAGCCGCAGCCATCTCCTTCATGACATCTTCCTCCTTCTCACCAGCGGCTACACGTTTCTTGAGCTGTTTCCGGTCGTGCTTGGATAAGAAGTTCGCCTTCTTCTTTGGAGCCTGAGTTGCCTCTTCATCTATCGTATCCGTATCGTCCACTTCCTTCCTCTTGGCTGCCAATCCTTCGCCACTGGCCACAGCAGCTTCCTCCTTGTCAGCCGCAGCGTTAATAGAAGCTGCCTTTTCCTTTGCTTTAATCTTATCTGCAGCCTTTGTTGTCTCAGTAGTGATAATCTTACCATGCAACTTTCGCTTCTTGACCATCATTTGTACACCAGGCGACGAGCGCTTTGCCGAAGAATGTGCGCCTGCCGCAATCTCAAAGATCGTCTGCGGCGGGCGGAAAGAGAGAAGCGAGTCAATGTACGCAGCTTTGTTGGCTTTGCTCTTGTCAAGTATAAACTCATGCTGAAAAAGAGGGTGTATCTTCTTCACCGCCAGTTCCTTACCACGACGAATGGACAGTTTCGACGGGTCAGCGCGAGTACGGGCATACGCCTTGTAAGCATTATCGCAGACCTTTACAAGTGGCGATACCTGCGGGTGGCTGCGCATCATCTCCTGGATGGCCTCATTCTCTTGATCAATCAGCTCATTCGGGAACGCGCCGTAGTGCACGTCGGCAACCGTCATAGATTGCAGAGAGTACGGCTTCGTACCGGCACTCTCTTCCGGTGACGATTCCTCAAGCCGACGCCCAATGTACAGGTGCAAGTCAACCATAAAGGGAGTTTCGTCTGGGTCCACAAAGCTGAAAGCCGTACCGCTGCGACCAGCACGGGCTGCACGACCGACACGATGCACAAACAGCTTGGCCGTTGGCGGAAAGGAATAGTTTAGCACATTGTTTAGCAGCGGAATGTCAATACCACGCGCTGCAACATCCGTCACAATCAGCAAACTCGTTTTCTTGGCGCGAAATTTACCCAGATTAATTTTACGTGAGGCTTGGTCCATGTCGCCGTAAGCACACGAAGCCTCAATGTGGTTCGCTGCCAACAATGCATGCAGAAACTCCACATGATGACGAGTAGCCGCGAACACAATTGTCTGGTCATCCTTGGGCAAGAACTCTCGAACCATGTAAAGAAAAAGCGCTGGTTTATCTAACGACCTCACTGTAAAGAACGCCATCTTCAAATTCTCCGAGATCTTGTTCTCTACATCCAGACGAATCAGCTCCGGATCACTCAAACCAGCACGTGCAAACTGCACTAGAGCTTTCGGAAGCGTCGCCGAAAACAGCAGTGTCTGTCGAGTAGTCGGCATGTTCTTTAGAATCTCCTGCAATTGCTCCGCAAATCCCATCTCGAAAATGCGATCCGCTTCATCAAAGACCACATATTCCACAGCTTTCAAATTAAAGTCCGGAATTTCCAGCAAAAGATGCATCAGTCGACCAGGGGTCGCCACCAGCACATCCGGGTTGGCTGCAATGGCTTCAAACTGCTGGTCCATGCCTTCACCACCAACAATCAGTGCTAATTTCAGCGACGTGAATTTTGACAATAGCTTGGCAAAGCGAAGCGTCTGCACCGCCAGCTCCCGCGTGGGCGACAGTATCACAGCACGTACACCAATCTTGGTCGAATGTTCTTTCAATTTCTCAACCATAGGAATCAAAAATGCAGCTGTCTTGCCAGAGCCAGTACGTGCCATAGCTACACAATCTTTACCAGACAATACAATTGGCAACGACTTGCGTTGAATAGGTGTCGGAACTTTATAGCCCATGGCCATGACACCACGAAACACCAATGGACTCAATCCTAAATGCTGGAAACCTCCTACACCTGCACCTTTGCCATTACTTTTACCATGAGTTGTACCTGCATCTACACCACCACCCTTAGCCGTGCTCTTTTTCTTTCCCTTCTTAAGTAGATCATCGCCCGCCATTGCTACTGGAACTGTAGCTTTTCGCTATACAAAAAGCATTGGACCAGCATTGTCCTCTTCTCATTGGATGAAATAAAACACTTACATGATTGGTCAATTTGAATATTATGTACAACGTTTTACTTAAGTTGACATTTTATATTTTTTTCTCATGTCGCTTGGACATTGCGCCGAGACGGCGGCACAGGACGAAGATGATTGGGCTGTTCGAGACGATAATGCTCGTAATTTGATTGAAAAAGATGATCAGAGTGCTGTATATGCTTCTGCTTCATCCAATGACCAAGTAGGAACCTCTATGGATGCTCAGAACGAAGAGGATCAGGCCGCAGACCTCGCGGTTCTCGGCGATACTTGTCCAATTTGTCTTCAGCGACTTAAGGACTCTGTAATGCTCACGATTTGCTATCACGTCTACTGTTTCGAGTGTCTTAGTACGTGGGTATCTAGTCTAGAGCTGCATGGTGTGGAATTAGCCACTTGTCCATTGTGCAAAGCTTCGTTCGAGACGGTCTATGCCAACGTGCGGAGTGAGTCGGACTATGAGGTTATTCGCTTCCAAGGGAGACGGATACATGACCAGGAGATTAGAAATAAACAGGGAAAAAATAGGCAGAGTGATCGACAGAGATTGCGACGTCGATCGCTTGTCTATCGAAATAAAATGCGACTCGTTCGCGTGGCTGGAAAGGAAGTGAAAGACCTGGATACGTTCCCAAAGATGCACAAGGTTAAGGGGGGAGTACGAAGCGTGGCTTGAGAGAGAATTGAAAGCGTGTATTGGACGAGATATTGATCTTACGGTACTCCTGGCTATCATCCATTGCTGTCTCAACGCGATCGCGCAGTGCGGAGCCAAGAAATGTTACGACGAGTTGACGCAAGCGCTCATGCCGTTTTTGTACGAGGATGCCAAGCAATTTGTCCGAGAGCTGGCTTCCTTTTTGGGCTCTAGGCTGAATGTCGAGGCATACGACGCGGCAGTGGAGTATCGCTGCGAAAATGCTGCCGACTGTACAAATGCGCTGTGCTGTGGCAGTTGAGTGAATTGTAAAAATGTGTGCTGGGTCGTTTTTTGTTTCAACTGGAGGCAGTTGACTAGAAGAGGGCTACGGCAAATACAGCTTGCTCCTGCTATCTGCGTCACCTCGAGTAGAGTTATGCCTTGCCTAGGACAAGAGCAAGCAGAGCCATGCGTACAAACATGCCATTCTCCATCTGGCGGAAGTAGGCAGCACGTGGGTCGTCATCAACCTCTTCAGCAATCTCACCAACGCGCGGGAGCGGATGCATGATGACCATCGTAGCCTTTGCATCCTTTATGGTGTCTAGCGTAATGCGAAAGCTGTCCTTTACCGCATTGTAGTCTGTCTCGCACTCAAAACGTTCCTGATAGCAACGGAATAAGCGCACACAACATCTTAGAAGAGTACGTGTAGTCCATTGTCACATGTGATTCACTTACCTTTTGTACACGGGTGACGTAGAGCACGTCTGTCTGGTTAATGACTGAATCCAGATCAGTCATCTCCTTCTGCTGAATGCCTTGCGCGGCAAGCTCATCGTATACGTAGCGTGGCATCTTCAAGCTCTCAGGCGATACATAATTGAACGTCGCACCGTACATCGCTAGCAGCTTAGACAAAGAGTGCACCGTGCGGCCATACTTGAGGTCACCGACCATAGTGACGACCTTTCCTTTCAGGTTCTCAAGATCACCAACTTCCGTATAAATCGTGTATAAATCTAGCAGAGCTTGAGTCGGGTGTTCACCCACGCCGTCTCCAGCGTTTAGTACAGGCTTCTTGGTAGCTTTAGCAGCCACGAGAGCGCTGCCCTGGATAGGGTGTCGAAGCACGACCACGTCAGCGTAGCACTCAAGACATCGAATAGTGTCATACAGAGTCTCGCCTTTCTGGCTACTAGAAGAGGTCTCATTGACACATACTACAAGGCCACCAAGACGCTTCATTGCAGCTTGAAACGAGCTGCTTGTGCGTGTGGATGGCTCCATAAACACATTGGCCAGCAGCTATCAACGAGTAATCGCAACAACTCAACGTCAATACATTCACCATTGTTATTTCAGTACATTAATACTGTAATACCTTTCCCTTAAGCAGATCGTTTGCACCCTTTGTCTTGACCATTTGTTTCATCTCATTGGCCACGAGTAATACACGTCTATATCAAATGACAGTATCAGAGTGAGTGACTAGCTGATCCGATCACTAAATTGCAATATCACTTACTCCGCACTTTTCTTTCCAAATTGGGCAATGGACAAGATATTCTCGTCCTTCCAAGAGCCCACCGCCGTCTTGCCGTCCAAGTTGTGCGCCATCTCAATTTGACGTCGCTTCGTCACGTTTGTCCACGCATTATTTTGACCGCTGAATCCAATTTCAACCAATCAATAATCGATTACCTTCCGAACCTATTGCATCTACATTTCAACCAATCTTGATGTAGCAAATGTACATACTACCATATCGATCCGTTCATGTACGATAAACATTTGTATGGACAGCAAAACTGCGTACTTATTCGTCGATTAAACGATCATGAGTGACCAGCAGGATGCAGAGGAGCTGCATCTGCGCGACAATGAACCCAAGAAAGCGAAACAGGGATCAGGTAAACGTTTGAATGATCGACAGCGTGTGGATATTATTCAAATGGCTGAAAATAGCAAGATTTCTAAGCGTCAATTAGCCGATAAGTTCGGTGTGAGTGAGGCAGCCATCCGCAAGTTGCTACTAAAGAAGGACGAATTTCTACGACGTTATTACGAAACACCCGAAGATATTCGTGATCAAAGACTTCGTGGAAAGAGTACACGTATCTCTTTGCAAGAACCAGACAGCTGTGGAGTCGGTGGTGGGTCAATACCGCACTTAGCCGCTCCAACGACAACAAGTCGGTCACCTACTGTACAGTCGTACAGTACAAGTATGTACCCATCTGATGATCCATGGAAACAGGGACTTGATGCTATGTTGGCCAAGGTCATACCGTTTCTTACGAATTTTATACAGAACAAAGGACAGTTACAAATGTCGTCCAACATACTCGATGTGACGATATCTGCGTCAGTTGCTACTGCTGAGCAAACGCAGGTAGAGAAAGAAGAAAAAGAAGATACTGTAGATAAACCGGACGGGACAGACGCAGAAGAAATAGACTGGGTCGGCTTCTCCCGTATGTTGCGTGATATTCGACGCGGGTTTCATCGATATCCTGAAACGGGGTACCAGGAAGTACGCACACAAGCATTTATCAAACGGTTCTGTGAGCAAGCTTTACATATTCCGGGTAAAAACATTCGAGAGATGGCGTCTACAGGGCTTGTAGTCGATGTTTGCTATGAGAACGCTACCATTTCGATATCAGACAAGCGCAAACTGCCCGTAATTGCCTTTCGTGCAGATATAGATGCTCTTCCGATCGAAGAGCTGAATGATCACTTGCCATACTGTTCGACTCAGAAAAAGGGATGCAAAGAGCTTCGTAAACGCAAAAAGCGAAAGAGCGCCGCGCATCAGCCTTCCTCGCCAATAAAACAAGAAGAGGGAGATGAACCATCTCACCAAGCTCTGTCCGACAGCAATGGTACTACTACTACAGTAACTAGAACTTGTACTGTGAGTCATGATGTTGCCATGGACGCTCCAATGACCAATCAGCTGCCTGCTCCATCAACTATTACAACCACCACGATCGGTGCTCCTCCTCCACCAAGCGCTGGTGGAGACGATGATGATGAGTTTCAAGTTTCCACGGCTGCGGCGCATATGTGCGGCCATGATGGCCACATGGCGATGGTGTTGGGGCTCTGCGCATTGGTGGTGCGCAGCGCACACTTGCTTCCGCAGGAAACCTTCGTGCGCTTCGTGTTTCAGCCTGCTGAAGAAGGTCCCGGCGGAGCCATGAAGATGATTGAGGATGGCGCACTTACGGACGTGAACGAGATTTACGGGCTTCATAACGCACCTTTCCCGCTTTACAGTGTCCACGTCCGTCCTGGAGCTGTCATGGCACACGAGGTAGAGTTTTCCATCGACATTCATGGCATTGGAGGACACGGTTCTGCGCCACAGCAATGTGTGGATCCAATTCTTGTGGGTTCCGCTGTAGTGCAGACCCTTCAGTCTGTTGTGAGCCGGTCATTGTCTCCTATGGATACTGCTGTCGTATCCGTGACTCAATTCCACGGTGGCGATACGAACAACGTGATTTCATCAAAGGTATCTCTTGCCGGAACCATTCGGGACTTTGATCTGGAACTAGCTAAAACTATTCAGGACCGCGTTGCCACGCTGGTGCATTCGACGTGTGCAGCGTACGGCGCCACCGCCAACGTGCACTTCCTGGATGGGTACGCTCCTGTAATTAACCCACACGTTGAGACACGTCAAGTACAGCAAGTGGCCATGGATATGGGGTTGTACGTGAGCGAAGAGGGTTTGCCACTCATGGCCGCAGAAGACTTTTCATACTTTTTACAAGAGCGCAAGGGCTGCTACTTTTTCCTCGGCACGAAAGAAGACGGAGACTCGGATAAAATGCGTGCGCTGCATTCAAATCAGTACGACTTTAACGACAAGGCCATCCCGCTTGGAATCCGGTTGTTTATGGGTATTTTGCAGTCTCGTTTTAAGTGTGTGCTGTATAGTGTTGAAGAGATGCAGGCTTTTCAAGTAGCTATGGAGCGTATCATGATGAACGTCACTATTGTATAAGTATTCTACAGACATTTTTGTTTTATTCCAATAAAATTAATAATCTTAATCAAATTAATTTGTCATTTCAATTAATATAATTTATATAAAAACTTATTGTTTCTTTATCATGTGATTGGTTGAAACTTATCCAGCAATTATGGGCGGACACCAATATATTGTTGACCATGGCCGGAACCAAACTAAGTGGACGACAAATTATGCAGTTATTCTACACGAAAGTGAGTCAAGTACTTTCTACTAAAAATAAGGACGGAGAATCGGAAGTATCGACAGTTTTTCGATGCAAATGCGGAAAAACTCGCGCCCAGAAACTGAAACATGGCTACACGAACTTAGTACAGCATGTAGTGGTAAAACATTCGGATTGGATTATGGCTACAATGCGAGAGAATTATCCAAGTTCTGTTCCTGCAATGGTCAATTGTATCAAGTCGTCGACAATCGTAAACAAGAAACAGACAAGAGCTCAAGGAGACGACGTCTTGACGACTGATGATAAAGAAGAGACCAAAGAGAATGCAATTGTTTCGGAGTTAAAGGACGAGGAAGTTGAATCAATTACACAAGCGACAATGACAGTAAAGACGTTGCCAAAAGTGCAAAAGCGGTCGGATTATTTATCGTGGGATGATTATTTCATGAGTGTTGCCTTTCTGAGTGCCATGCGCTCAAAAGGTTGGTGATCTTTTGCTGCTTTGAGGTGGAAAATGACCTTTTGGGGGAGTAACAGAGAGTTATTTCGTGTGTTTATGGTGATGGTGGAAATTAGATCCGTCGACTCAAGTTGGAGCGTGGTAAGAGGTTGTGTGTTAAGAGGGTGACCTTTAGCAGGATTCTGATGCGAAACGACTTTATTTACATTGTAATAGCATTGTAAACTCCGAACGGAAGATTGTTGGAATCGGATACAATGGATTTCCGAATCGATGTGGAGATGATGAGTTGCCCTGGGCACGTGAAAGTGAGACGAACTCGCCACTTGATACGAAATACCCGGTTAGGGACATTGACACTGTCATTGTATTGTCTGGCTAACGACTAACTCGATCTCCTTTTTGCTCAGTATGTTTGTCATGCGGAAATGAATGCCATTTTGAACAAAAACTCGACGGATGTGAAAGGATGCACGGTATAAGTGTGTGTATTCGCATGCAGGTTTTCTGCAGCTGGTCTGAACTTGTACCTTTTTGTGTAGATGTACGTGGCGCTTTTCCCATGCAATGAATGTGCCAAGCTCATCATACAGGTAACGTGAACTCTGCTGCCTTGAAATGCTCCTTGACAGACAGTTATTATATTGTGGAATTCGTTCAGAGTGGCATTTCGCGTATCGTCTACTGCTCCGACAAGTACAAGCAGGAGTATGTTGACGTGTCAAAGAGTTTTGGATCATGATATTATCTCTAACGCTGTTGTTTGACCCATTTTGTAGCTGGAAGTTCGTAGCGTCGCGTCGGCTTTTGGACATGGCCGGTGTGCAGTACACGCAGCACCAGCTTCAGCGTTCCAAGGTCGTCATTGACTTTACCTCTGTCCGATAAGACACGTTTGGTCTACTTCCTGACCGCCATCAAGCGGCATGGAGACCACAAAAAAGTTCAGTAATACGACAAGTTTCAACATCAAAAACGCTGTTAAGATCCGGCTAACAATAGTAGCTCACAACAGATTATCGATGTTGCATATACACGTAGAGAAAACTAGATGAGATCAATCAACAACCTTCCACTACTTAGCGGCCTCCCACTGCTTGACAACGTCGTCCGAGATGGCGCCGCAGCTGAAGTCGAAGTCGTCAGCGCCAATCTCAAGAACCTTGACACCGTAATCCTCGTCGATGATGGTCACGTAAGTGGTTGGGCCGTCAACGGGGCGCTTACCGAACTGGTCATTTCCCGGGTTGTACGTACCGTCGTAGAAGTAGTAGTGCGTGGATATAAAGCTCGTGTCCTTCTCCAGCACCTCGGCGATGTCGAGCTCACCGCAGCCGCCAGCGGGACCCATGCCACGACAGTTGCAACTGTACTGGCCTGAATGGGTAGCCTGGTCGGGGAGCATCCAGATAGCAGGTACATTGGGAGCACGACAATTCCCCATCGACACCTTCGTCAAGAAAATCTTCTTGCCGCCAGTCCATCCCTGGAACGCCGTGCCGTCTTTGTCGTAAGCACCCTCGCACTCGACATCAACACCGCACCGCTTCTCGGTCATGATGTGCACCTCAGTGCCAGTGGCCTGGGAAGCAAGAATCGACGTACCACCATGCTTCGTGGCCTCAGCTAGAGTGCCGCCGAATGGAGTCGACTCATTGGCTACACCCGTGCCGTCCGCCTTACAGAAACCTTCAGGCGAGGTAGCTCCCGAGTAGTCGACATTCTCGTTGTTGAGGAACACCATGTTGGTGGCGGCACCACCCTTCTCGTACGACGAAACTTTGCTCCACGAGCCCTTGTTCCCATCAAACACCGCAATGTTAAAGATGGTCATGCAGCCACGGAAGGCAAGCGTAACACCAGTGTCCAGAGGAGACACGGGGCTCGTTGTCTTGACCGTCGTCTTTGAACACGATCCAATGTTTGTCACTTGATCGTATGAACCGGGACCACCGCAATTCACACCCGTGTACGAGTATGAACTTACAACGTTGCCAGCCAATGTTTGTATCGCACCCGAAATGGGCTCCTGCTGCGTTACTTGCTGCGTAGCATCATCCGCACCCAGCACAGATGTGTCGGCATCATTAGCCTTGAAGCTCTGCTTCATAGAGTCGTCCTGTGTCTTCACGGGAGAGTCTGTGGCCGGCACCTCGGTCTGCGTCTCCGGGTGCTGTGTCTCCGGGGTCTGCGTCTCAGGAGAGTCAGGAGCACTCATGCAAATTTCAGCCGAAACGGCGCTCACCATGGCCGCAGCGATGAGGAATATGCCGTACAACTTCATGTGAAAGACCAAGTAAGTTTGTGCACCGAGCTCAGCAAATTGTTGAATGCAAATGAAGGAGTTTGTGCGATCGATCGATCGATCGATCGCATCTCTCCTCCAACTGGCTGGATAAGACCGACAGAATGCGTAAAGAATCAAGTACAGCTGGTAGAAATATCCCATCTCGTACCAAAGTTAGTACCCCCACTTGGTCGAATCAAGAACAATCATGTCCGATAGCCATCTGTTGCAACGTTTTTTACATGTCATGAACTGACTTGCTGCTGATTTTCCTCAACATTGTACGCACGAGATTATGCGATAGGTAGTTGGTGTCTTGCCTTAAAGTATAAGGCGGTGATCAAACGGACGGTGGACACAAAGACACCCACTTTTTGGGCGCTGCAAGTTGAAGCCGATCTTGTTAGTCGTATCACCGCTGGAGGTGACGAGCACAAACGCCTGATCCATTGCAGTGTTTCTTGATCGCAAGCGTGATTTTCTCCAGTTGCTTTATCGTTTGAGCACCTATTGGTATATAGTGTTCTTGGAAGCATTTGACATGCGCCCTGTGCCAGCGTACACTTCAGATCGTCTGCAGTTCAGACGATTTTCTACACGATCATGAGAACAGACAATTTCCTACACGGTCTTTTGTAGAACATAGTCGAAAAGCGACGAGAGCATTTCAGTACTTAAAGATGAGTACGTCATCGTGCTCATCGTGTTGTCTTTGAGCAAATGTAGGAACTTCACGTGACGGTTGCTACCATTGGACGGACCACAACAAAGCGGTGTGGCCCCCAGAAGCAGATCTACTCTTGTTCGATGATGTAGTTCATGGCACGAACGGTAAGTAAAATCATCTGCACGGCGGCAGAAGACCATTAGTATTTGCGGAACTAAACACTTTTCTTTTCAATGACAAAGCCAACGAGTCCGAGGAGTTGTCTCCGTGTAACACTCAGTGCTGTGGTTATTGCCCACTTGAACACGTAAATCATGATGTCATTAAAGCATCTAGACACCGAGCGAGGCTTTGACCTAAGTTGTGGAGATATTGGAATGTCATCTTGGCTGGGGGGCGGCAACACTCAGTTTCGTCTTGATATGAGGAAGTAAAAATGAAAGGGTCACTTGACTTGCCGTGTTGAACGATTAGCATCTTCTAGCAGATCTGGTACCGTGTGTGGAAAGATTGAGCAGCTTTGACACTACAAATAGCCTCAAATTGCTCTTGCAGAACAGCAGACGTTGTAACACTTGAAGGCAGCAGTTCACTAGCCAGACTCTTCTTAAAATGACATATCCTTATGCGCTTTGATGTCCTCGTCACTGTAGGTCAATCGTTTTCGCACACCTGTAATCGCTGTAATCAACTTAAATTTGGCTCGAATACGAAGCAGTTCTTGCACCATATCTTCGTCCACCACGTTCTACACATTGATGAACATTTGAGCCACCAGGTACGACTATAATACTACCTCGTTCTCATCATTACACGCACCTTGAGCTCAAAAGCATCGAGCAACGTGCCTAGAGAAGCCACCGTCTTAGCAGCTCGACCTCTGACCATTATCAATCTGTTAGTTACACTGTCCTAATAGCTCATTTCCATCGAATCCATTAACGATACTACACGCACGAGAGTTTGTTCTTGAGTTCCTCGTGCTGCAGCATGTGGTTCCACACCAAGTAGCAGCCTTGGTAAAAGCCCACCTCACTGCCGATCTCGGCACCCTTCATGATACTACCATAGAGTATCAGAATAGTAGTGCATGATGTATTTCTTCAGGACGTTTTTACGTACCCAAGCATCCGGCCTTCTTCGATGCCCAACTCACGGCCACGTTCTATCCCCATAGCCTCACCCTGTGCCACAATTGTCTCCTCGTAGCCAGAGATAGCATCAAATGCGTTCGTAATGTCCATGGACGTCAATTTCGTGACACGGATTGTACGAGCCTTTCAAGTGCGTCACGATAGACACGTTAAGTACTCACTTGACGATTGTGTGAATCGATCCTGCATTCCTGATGGAAGGATTTGCTGCCAGTAATAGGACGTAGTAGGGGGAGCTGGCCTACCAAAGAAGCCGTTAGATGAATGGGTGTCATGACCAAGTCAAAGAAAGAGCTTGGACTTGCACCCTTCCGACGATTCATGACCAGCACTCAACCATCTTTGCTTCGACAAGTCAAACTCTTGTTGTAGTGGTTGCATCGGGTCGTGCGTGTCTTCCTTTTGCTGAAGTGCAGCACATGCTCATCAATTGAGCTCATAGACGGTAAACTAAATGGTCGCCAAAACCGACAAAGAGATGTTCACTAGGGTGCTTATCTTGGCAAGTGAGCAAAGAAGTCTATGGAGCCGTGTATTAGTCAAAACGGTGCATTAGATGTTAATACCATTGATTCGAGCTTACCACGACAGCCAGCTACGTCTTGTTTCTTGGTAGGTCTGGGCATTCACTTCGAATATGGCCCTTATTCCCACACAAATAGCAGGTGAGGATACTTTTCTTCGCTTTTGCGCTAGACGCATTAGCTTTTTTCACGCTAGCGTTACGAAGAGAGCCCTGCACACTCTTAATGTCGGACGTTTTGCAAAACTTTTGGTCTTTGTTAGCATTGGGCCCACAAAGATTTGCAGCGGCGTTCAATGCTAGCGACAAAGACTGATTCCTAAAGCCTGCAGCAGTAGAACATGGCACATTATAGATAAGTTCACTTAAGTAAAGCTAAATCTAAAGTCATGAATGTAGAAGAATCAATGCTAAAGTTACCTGATAGCACACCAACTACATTCGCCGGTAAAGGTCCATGCTCTACATTACTGGGACTCACGATGATAGCGCTGGACTGGATGAGTTCGAGTGCATGAACAATGAACGGCGACTTGCTTAGACTAACTGCAACACGCAAAACCACAAGATAGTCATCAACATCAGGCTGCTACAGTCAGCATGAGACAAAAGAATCTCTAGAGATGAGCGACTAATCGAATGGAAGCAGCATGCTCAAACTTACTGTTCCAGCACAGCACGATCACTTGATCTTCACGGGCATCAAGTATCTTTTCCAAGACCATTTTTTCCGAGTCGTAGTTGTGGCCCTTTATAACAACTTTCAAATCATCAGCAAGCGCTTGAATTTGTTGCCACAGTTCCTTTCTTCCAACGTCACCACTGCAAAAACAATGAATCATACAATGAACACTTCAGTCTCACCACGAAGACTTTGGCAAGCAAAATAGTTCACTCACCCCGTCCAAACACCTCGCACAAAACTGCACGGACCTTGCAGCAGTAACACGTTCACCAATGAAGTATCACTTGCGTTCTCTGTATCCGTTCTATTCTCCCCACTAAAGTTTTGCTTCTTCTTAAACTTTGCGTCCGTACGAACTGTTGTCGTCGTCGTATCCAGTAGTAGAGATTCCTCACTCTGCTCAGTATTAACCATCTCTCCAGCATTAACACCATCTTCTCTATACAACTCTGTCCCATCTTTTTCTGTCCAAGTTGTCTTTACCAATACAGTCACATCCTTTTCTGCAATTGAAAATGATCTCTCTCCCTCGTACTCGGCCACTTGTTCTCCAAAAAGCTCGGACATTTCTACATCACAATACCAACAACATGTCACACTCAACCATTAGTCACACTAAGTATTTGTTTTTCTTTAATTAATACTACAAATTGTATCCTACTTCTCTCTTTACCATAATGCAATCGATCAATGTCATTTTCAGCGTCTTTTTCTTGTAATGCCCATGCATTTATTGCATCACTTAACGTGAGCTTTTCAGTGGTCGACACGGGCGTCTGAAGTGGACTCAGATCAATTTCAAGCGGGTTCGACATGGATTGGCCTGCTTTAGACGAGAGAGGACACCATCGACGAGGCTGTAGAAGAAGGGACACAGTACGACGCCGTCCTAGCGCCAGCATTATTGGAGGTACCATAAGTACGCCTTAAGTGCGGCTGGTAGTATCTCGGTATATTTCCCGGTATATCGGTTTTAGAAGCGACGAATTAGAGGGATGACAATGAGTCGCAGCAACACGCAATTAAGTGGCAAAGTGGCAGTGATTACAGGCGCTTCAGGAGGCATCGGGGCCGGTACATAATTTCGATATATATTCATCTATATCTTTATGCTCTCTTTGCTAAGTTTCAGCTCGTAACATTCCTTAGCCATTGCATTAGAGCTGACAGCAGCAGGTGCCAAAGTCGCACTTGGCGCTCGACGTCTTGACGCTTTAGAGACTGTCCAGACGAGTATTGAGCAGAAACTTGGCGCTAAGCAGGACATTCTTATCGTCAAAACCGATGTGACGAAGCGGGAGGAAGTGCAGAATCTCGTGGACAAAGCAAAAGAGATGTTTGGACCTGTTGATATCCTTGTGAACAATGGTCAGGAGATCTTTTCAATTTGAAAGGTTTGCTGTATCATATTTGCACCATTGTTAAGTTTATGTTGCTGTGCTAATTGTAGCGGGAGTGATGCCCTTTGAACTGCTAAAGAATGTGAATCAAGACAGTTGGGATCGAGTATGGCGACGAATTGAGAAGGGTCGATCTATTGTGTACAATTGGGAATTGTATTAACTTGGAACAAACTGTTTCATGCCATACAGACGATTGATATTAATTGCAAGGGGACACTTCATGGTATTGCGACGGTGCTGCCTGAGATGCTGACGCGTAAGAGCGGCCATATTGTCAATATTTCGTCGGACGCTGGACGCAAGGTTTTTCCTGGATTGGGTGTTTATTCGGCATCCAAGATGTTTATCGAGGGGATATCACAGGCATTACGGCTTGAAAACGTTGGTAGTGGCTTACGCGTAACCTGCATTCAGGTAAAGTATTCTATTGCAAGATATTCTAGAGGTGGAATATACAAAGGTATGACTGATTGGTTTGTAGCCTGGTAATGTTGCTACGGACCTTGTGAAGCATGCAAATGCTGCCAGTGGTATTGATGAAGAAGCAATGAAGTTGTACGGACAGCCTTCGGGTACGATCTGCGTTTTTATTTATTGCGATACGGTCGCTAATGTTGTACGTTTACTTACCACCCACAATACGCTATAATAGAGTGTAAGGCCCTCCAGCCAGAGGACATCAGTCGCGCTGTGCTGTACGCTGTCACGCAGCCGCCTTACGTTGCCGTGAACGAGATTCTGGTTGAGCCACGAGATGAACCCATTTAGAGAGACTACCTTGGTCTCTATGATGTCTAGCGCAGCTCCAAGCCATACACAAGACGTTCTAGCTCGCGCTCTAAGAGATGCACCGCATTCTCTAGGATACCAAAATCATAGTATGATGCTCCCATGACTTCATCGTCCTCTTCGCTTTGGCTGCCATCGTCTTGTCTAAATGCGCACAGGCATGCGATGGGAAAACCACGCACGCACACGCTAACACCGATAAGAAAGCTTATACGGAGATGCTGCACCATAGGAATGTCTCGTGTCCGTGGATCAGCAAGACAATTTGGCACCACCAAAGGTTGGCAGTGAGGCTGACAGAGAACGAAATCGCACAATGACTCCCGTCGCAAAATTTCATCCTGAGGTGATAGATCGCAAGTTCCAATGGTATGCTCAATCATCACATATTTCTCGTCCACTCGCGCGATGAAGGCGGCGGTCAGACCAAAGGCAGTAGCAGCAATTTCACAGCTTCGTTGCATGATTGTGCGATCTACCAGCGTGAATGCAGGTGATACGATCATATCCAGTAACTTCAAGCGCTGTACTTCACGTTGTTCGTCAAACTGAGGCAAGAAATAGCCTTCATCAACGATGGAATCCCGGTCAAATAGACTGACATTGGAGCTCATCAAGGAAGTTCGACGATAATCAAACTTCCTTGAGTCTTCATGCTCCTGTAAGTCAACCATATCATATGACAAACGTACAATAGAGTGATCAGCAGAGCTGTAGCTGCTTGCCTCGGATGCGATGCAAATCGGCGGGGCCTTCTTTTGCGTCCTAGAGGTCATGGCTGCCGGGTGTAGGAATGACTTTGAGCTGCGAGACCCACAACTCGAGCTCCCAACTTCACCATTATTATTTCCTCCTCTGGCCCAATTGGAAGAACTGACACTACACGTAGAGTCGACGCTACTTGGGACTTGAAGCGACCAGAGACTCTTAGTACTTGACAAAGTGATGGGTGTCGCATGCCATAGATTATTGGTGCTACTTGCAATGGACTTGATGGAAATGATCTTGTAACCAACATTAGCTGCCATTTCATCCGGTAGTGCACCAATATAGCCGTCATGTCCAACTTCTTTGGACTCGTGTGAGTCAAAGCTCTCCATCGCTATCCTTTGCGAAAGCTTGAGATCTACTGGCAATGACGGCAGTCCGTAGTCTGGACTCACCGCTACTTTTATATGTGTCGAAAGCAAGTGTGACGAGAGAGAAAGCTCAGAGTCTGAATCCGATTCAAGCAGAGGAGGCTGTTCCCATCGTTGGTAAGAGGTCGGAATCCTGCTGTGATAATTGCTGCTGTGGTTGTTGTTGAAAATAACATGCGTCTTGGTCTTGAGTCGAGTTGTGTTGTTGCAGATGTGGCAGATGCGAGTCTTTTGAACCGCCTTGGTTCTTACGTTCACAATGTTGATAGTACGTAGTGAACAACAGGTGCCACAAATGACTTCACCGCAGAGGCGACAGTGATGCCGGCGGCGAAAGAGAGCATTGAAACTTTTCCAGCAGATCACACAATAGGCACGGTCCTCATTCTTCACCCACTGCTGAGGTGCAATCAATTGGCAATCGCCAATTCTAGATGCTGCCACGGCCGCCTCCAAATTTCCAACAGATCGCAAAGCCAGTCGCCGCGCAATGACTCGAGCTGCCCAAGGTGGTCCAGCTACAGGACCATCGTTTTTGTCATGGAAGGAGCTCGTCACACACGAAAGACGCAACCGATTATGGGAAATCTCCTCCACGATCAACGTGTACTGCAAATTTACCTGTTGTGTTGTTTCCAGCATCGCATCATGCGATTGAGGAAACGGCACCCAGCTTAGTGCGATGGTCCGCTTGTGCACTCCATCGCTCGGACGTGCGCTCATTCCAGCCATTGACGAAGTGTTCTTCGTCATGGACGCCACATCATTGTGGCCATTGTGCTCAGTATGGTGCTGGTTGTCTGGTAGAAAAATCTTGAGCGTCTGAAAAAACGTCAAGTGCTGTTCACACAGCAACAAGGGTTTGCTGTAGTCGTGATATGTAAACCATACTGCTGCATGCTGTGTGTCCATGGTCCAGTCACTAAGCAAAGGTTCGTTCGGGCTCACAGAGAGCAAAGCACCATCTTTAAAGTCACGGCCATGCAGGAGTTTCATCATGAGTCGAAATTGAGCCGTCGAGTCGAAATGAAGCAGATTGAAAGCTTCTTCAAAGCCGCACGATGCTTCATTGACGGCTAAATAATAGACCGAGGATCCATTAATCACTCCCTGATCGGTTCGTTTGGCATAAAGCTCCTCGTGCTTATCTCGACGTAAACACGACCATTGCTCTTTTGTACGGGTTGAATTGAGACAAACTCCTAAGACGTCAGTAATTTGCCTCATGGCACGATGGTGCATTCGACGCGTTTGCTCGCAATCACAAGATAAATGCATTTCCAATGTGTTATTGCTCCCGTTCTTCGGCAAATGAACGTCAACTTTATTGTATTTCTGAATTAGATAGTGTCGTCTTACAATGGTCCTTGCAAATCGGGATGACGAAATGGACTGTTTGGTCAGTAAGTAGTAGACTGAAGCATCGACTGTACAGAAAACATAATAAACTGGGAGAGACTCTTTTGCATCTATACGATGCGAATGAATATAAAGAGCGAGACACTTCAGTTATTCAACGATATAGATGAATAGTGAGTGAGGCTTGCAGATGGCAGAGACGCTGATATTATTTTTGTATTGTTATTGTACCAGCTGATACGAGTCAAACACGCTTAGTATGAGGTTCATGGAATGAAGTACATATATTTAATACTGGACTTAAATCTGACACAGGCATCGCAGAGTAGATCATCAGCCATACTGTATCTCGGATCAGTCAGCCACCAAGTATAGCACAAAAATTTAAAGTGTTCTTCATCTTTTGTACGTTCCTCATGCAGAGATGTCTGCTGACTCCATCGTTACGTAATGTATTGGAGTTGGCTCAGAAAAAGTCGTCACTTTCTAACCAGCTGAAGATGTGTCTGTTGTAGCCAGTCACACAATACGACAATCACCTTTAAATAATACCACGCTACAGCCGGTTTCGGCGCCCACTCTGTTCGTCAAACATAAACATATTCCCATCCCCAACTAGAGGTTCAGATGTCACATGATAAGCCAGAAGTAGCTTGTAAAAGAAGCCACTACGCTTGAAGAAGACGGACGATCCATGAATGTTCTCTCGTCTAACATCTAGCGAATAAGTGTTTCGTCGTCAGGCGTTCGACAATCATTCACACAATCATGCGTATAGTAGTATATGCAGGTGTCTTATACGTTGCGACAATTAGTATAATGCGTGCCTTAAGCTATAGAGGAGTAAGCCTTGATTGCCCGACTGTAACTGTCTTGTTCACGAGCATGACTTCATGTCTTGGTAAACCAAGATCGAGCTCACACACTTCACACTATGATCCGCTAATGTATCGCTCACAATCTTGAGTTCCGCTTGAATTGCAGCAGCGAGCAACTTACAACAGAAAGTGACGACATCACAGCCAAGAAATTATATCGACTGTTTGAGTTGGTAAAGCCATTCAGCAGTATGGCAGCGGAGAACACAGGCTTTAGTATGCCAATATTGCTGCTGGAAAGCCCTAATTTGGTCGTGAAAACGTATGGGAAGAAGTGCCGTGAGCATTATATCTCAAAGCAGAAAAAATAGGAAGGTATTGCGTACGACAAGAGAATGCGTTTCATGATGATCAAATAATGACTGACGCAAGCAGAAAGAAGAGATCTCTGTGTCTAGAGGAAGCGAAAAGACGTTCTCAAATGCAGGCATCGAACTTATTATCGAAGCCCAAAGATCACTGACTGAAACTGCTTTCTACTAGCCGGTCGGTTCATGGTCGTCTTAGCTTTCTTGACTGGCTCCATGGTTCCAACAGAGGCAAGAAGTTCATAGCTTGAAAAAACCAATAGCTCTGATTGTTCATAACCATCAGCTCATGCTCACTTTAGCTCAAACACCACCGAGTCTCGATCTGTTGTTCAATAGTTTGAACCGTTATTCTTGCCTGATGAACATTGTGTCGAAGTTGAGCCTAGAAACAGCATTCCTTGGTACTATGCTTTTGTCATGTCGTTAGCGTATAGGTAGGTATCTTGTGCTGCAGCTCGACTTGACAACCAACCCTTTATCATCTAGATATTCCGTTAACACGCCATCGAGTTCTCTCATACTCGTTCTTGTTCTGGTGGTCTTGTGCTGCTCAAGAGCTTTGCATTCTACCTACAGATCTTTTTTTCATGGTGTCATGTTCCTTATGTCCGCGATGTGGTGCCTTTCGTTTCGGCCACATTGCAGACTTGTCTACACCTATCATATCATACTTAGTCTCGCCTCCATTGCGAAGCTTGTCATACATCAACATGTCCGTTATAATTACGTCAAACGCTCGCAATCATACGCGTAAACGGTAGTGCTGCTGAGCTTGTTACCGGTGCTACTACGGGCGTCAACTTGGATACTGAAGCGGTCTGCTTTGCTGCCGAGGCCGAAGTCGATAGACACGATGCCGGCATCTCAGACTTGATTGAGTGCGCAGTCATCGCGCCAGTGGAAGACGCATACCCAACGTTGGGCACAGAATTGGGTGGAGATGACACCACGTTAGGTTCCGTCTTGACGACGTTCTCAAGCACACGCACAAACCGGCCCTTGATACGTGGACGGTCATCTGCCAACTTCTTCCTGCAGTCGTACTTGATGCTCTTCTTCCACGTACGATTCTTGCGCTTCTCGTGGAACTTTTGAATGCGCAGCTTGCGTGCTGCTGGACTATACGAGCCAATCTTCTTTGAGTTTGACAACGGGGCAGATGTTCCAGCGTTTAAAGCGCCGAGCAGCGAGTCCACCGGCTTGCCCACCAATAGCGATGACGTCGAACTACTAGTTGCAGATACACGAGCCGGCTCCAAACGAATCTCCTCAGCAGAGTCGGTCGCCTCTACACTTGAAACAAGAGCTGCAGCGTCCATTGTTGGCGTTATACTTGAAGCTGGCACTTCATCTCCCTGCTTTGCTTCCGTCTCCTTTTCCGAAAAAACGCTTTTACGCTTCACACTCGAAGCGCTCGTCGGTGACGGAATCTTGAAGTTCATGGTGTCAAAGCTCATGAGGAGCTTTTCCGCGTTCTTGGTGCTGCTTGGATTCAGACGGATGTAGGCCGGATCAACTATAGGCGTAATCAAATGCATCAAACGGCAAAAGATGAGCACGCGTTCGTCTCAGCCAACTAGGCACGGCATGATCACGTGTCAATTTCGGTTTGCATTGCACAAAGCAATATCAAACAGAAATAGAAAGAAAAGAGCAAAAAAACTAACCGAAGGTCGAAGCCATTTCTGCAGGATCTTCAAATGCCAAGCCACCACGTAAGAACGACGATGGACTGAAGTCAAAATCATTCGCATCGTCGTTCGTTGCATGATCCTGCACCAGTGCGTCCATGCTCAGAGCCAGATCCATCTCGTCGTGAGCAACCCAGTCAATGTCCTGATTCAAACGATCGTCAAAGTCCATGGCACGCAAATACTCGTCACTGATCCATCCATCCAGATCCAATTCAAACTCCTTCTTAAACATGTCGTCCAGTCGTGCTTTCTTGGCATCACTGGTGCCAGTCATTGAATTTACTGCATGGGAGCGCTTATTGCGTTGCGAACCAGCACTCTTGAGCTTTTCCTGTGGTGACAAGCACATGGCCAGTTTAATATCTTCACTAGGGCTTCTCATCCAGCAGCCGCCCAATCTTTTTGTTCTAAGGATCGTCTTGTCACAAAATGGAGCGAGTGGTGGTCACTTGACAATGACTTGTATTGGAAAAGCAAAGAGTGAGGCAATCTTCTTAATGGTCTTGTACAAAAAGGCTTGTAAGAGTGACAAGAGAGTGAACGTTGTTGGTCAAATTCACGTGGGACTTGTCCCCAATTGCAAGAAATTGGTCGATTGAGTGAGACAAAGGAGTTTTTGGTCTGTCGAGGATTTCAAAATGATCAGTCGGTCGCAGAAAGAGCTTTTGAAAAAAAAGCACAATCTTTGGAACAGAAGGCAAAAGAATGAGTATAAAAAACATCGACGCAAAGAAAATTCAATAATTGGTCGAGAGTAAACTCCACCGATTGGACAACAGGTTTATTTAGCCAATCGTAGTGCATCTTGGACAATGGCCTGTCGGGTTAAGTTGCGCTTGCTACGGGTCTTACCCATGAAAAATGCCACTGACTCGGTGATTGGAAGCGGACCAGGTCGGGCCCGCGAAAAGGTTAAAGTGTATAGCGACACTAAATTTTGTCAGATAGAGTACCACACCATATAGATGCTTATAACGAGTTCCAGCACTTGCAATTTCCAATAGTTAGGATTAGTTTGTGGAAAAACCATCTGCTAGCGTATGACGGCAAGAAAGAGGACATGCTGTCCTTTATTAGTCCCCGAGCACTGGCTTTCGTAGGCAGTTTAGAGCGACGAACCCGCTCGTTTTTCGCAATGGCAGCAATAAACAAGGCCGACCATGTGCTGGCTGGCTGACCTTGATGCATTACACACTGCACGCTCGATCCAATCACACAGACTGGCGACTGATTTGTTGTCGGAAAAGACCATACAATGTACTTGTAGTGAACAGGCCAGTGGATCCGATCTCCTAGAGTTAACCGTCCCCGCTGATATCTTCAGTTCCGTGCATCGCGTCTTTTTTGCGCCTATAAAGCGGAATCTGAAGATTGGTATGGCGAGGGCCGAAAAAGCTTGTTAACTTGCACTGCTGGCTGGGTGCAATTAGATGCAATCAAGTCTTTTCTACTGTCGAGGCATTCGCTCTGGTCAGGTGCTTTGCCTGCAAATAAACGTTACGCCATCCTGCATGTAATCAATTGCAATGCAATAAAAAATGACTGCTCATCCATCCCGCTTTCCGTCGATGCCTTCTTCAAAGAAGCAGCTTTTGAAACTTCTTTAGCGACATGGCAATCGCACAGGTCAGCTCAACGGAGCGGTCATAACGAAGCCATACCCCTGAACACTGACGTTGCTAATTTTGTTTGGGAACTACCAGACATCCTGCAACACTAACCGGTTAAATAGTCTCTTACATGGAAAGCATGTAGCACAAATGATCATCTTCACTTGACAACGTCGATTACGTCAACACCCTAATGATGGGTGAATATCGTCGCTGATCACATTTCTTTCACGTTCTCGAAAAAGTCGACGTTTTGATCTTTTTTCTGGTTTTGTGTATACATTAGTAAAAATACTACCAAATTTGCGTTTTGGGCTCTTTGACCATATCACTTGTATTCACTATGCCCTTTTCTATCACCCAGTCGTTTCGTCTTTTTTTCGAAAATATTGAAAACCGGTCTTTCATTCATTATGAACAGTCCATTCAATACCTGTCGTTTTTTTCAGTCGCCCCAGGGCTGTTTCCGTGGCGGTTCATGCACCTTTCGTCACAATGATAAATGTTTGTCTTTCAATGACGTATCCGGATTAAACTCGTCCAATTTGTATACCAATAGCTCCATGTCTTCTACCGTAAAACCTTGTCGTTTCTTTCTGTCCGAGAATGGATGTCGCAATGGTAGCAATTGTCCCTTTGTCCATATCACGACTGTTTCTTCTAAAGCTCCAACGTACGAGGAATTGCAGCCTCCATTACCTCAAGATAATTATCATATGGCTACAACCAATGGTGGTAGCGTCTTTTACAACCATCCTGGTCTTCGACCACCACCTATGATGAAGATGGCTACAGACTTGGAAGATGAGAATGCTGCAATTTCCAATACCTCTTATACCGAGTCAATGACTTTTCGACATGAAAAAAGTCACCTTCAAGCTAAGAAGTTAACGAAACAAGAGACAATTAGTGAAATTCTTCCAGTGCTTACGAGGGACATTGAAGGACCGGTTTGTTACCAAGAAACAAACTTTTTTTCTCTTGTTCGCTCAGAAAGAGTTGAAAAGTTGACTGAACAATGTTACTTTTATATTGCTTGTTATGGAAATTTTCGTGACAGTTCTTTGCTATTGACGTCGAGTGTGTCGCCACGGGGAACGGCAATGAGTACGTTGTGGGTTGATTTGTTGTGGTGAGTAGATTTGGAGTTTTTTCTTTACTTATTGTTGTGTGCTTTGTGTAATGTTGATATTTTTGGTAGTGACCGAGATGTCGCACGGATTGCTGTGGTGGATGAAGACGAAAAAGTAGTGCTTGACCAATACGTTAAGCCTACAAAACCTATTGTAAGCTACCTTACACAGCTTACGGGTATCACAGAGAGGTGAGTCGGTGTTAAGTAAAAGGTGGCGTTATATGGAGATTTGACGATTTTGTGTGACTCCTTTGCTGTGACGACAGCAACCTGGTAGATGCACCTACTTTAGAAGAAGCGCTTGTCCGGTTAAAGAATATTCTGCCCGTGGAAAGTGTTATTGTGGGTCAGTCTATTAAGAAGGATCTGAAATGGCTCATGCTGGAGAAGCCAACGGACTACAAGGGAGAATTTGATGTGGCCGACTTGTTTCGACTGCCTATGCAATCGACCAATGGTGTGGTGCGTTATCGCTATTTTTCTCTGCGGCACGTGGCCAAATACTTGCTTGGACACGAGATCCAGGAGGCAGACCACGATCCGGTCATTGACGCTCGGTATGCCATGAAAGTGTTTAAAGGGTTTCGCTACCTACATGAAAACCCAGGTCGGCGTGATGCAGTGTTGCAGACCCTACTAAAGACGCCGCGCACACCTTCATTTGCAGACCGATATCCAGTAATCGATGGTGTTTTGATGCGTGCACCGCGGAAGCAAAGCACATCGCCATCAATCCGAAACGGCAACCGTGTTGCTGGGGCTGAATCTGTGCAGCAAGGCACCAATGGAGGTCACATGCAGTAGCATGGGCAGCAACTGATGTTCCTGTAAGAATAGCATCCAGTGAGGCACTACGACGGACATATTAAAGCAGGCCAGGTAATCTTTCAACTCTCAAAATTGCAGCGTCGAGTGTACGCATTTTGTGCACAGCACTCGAACCATTGCCCACCCTCTCAATTTACAGACCTTGCATCTTCATTATGCTCTTCCCATCCGCAACGCATTCAAGCATTGGCGTGAACAACCTTAACAGGACCATATTGACCAACTTGGTAATCCAGAGCGTGTTCACCGTCACGTAACGCTGTTATTCTTCGATGAAGGGCTTCAAGTATAGACAAACATCTCTCGCCCTAAGACGTGCAATTCCGCTGGATTTCCTGAGTGGTCGAGACCGTGCACTCACCACAGAGTGAACCACGCGGTACTCTTTATACAATTTGCGTTACGTCGGAACGTCCGAGTTTGGTGATGGCAAATGACTAGCAAGTAGTCTTGACCTGGATGCAATACGCCCATTGCGTTGCTATTGTAGCAGAAAGAAATATTACATAAAGCACGACTGACAGGATCAACTCGCAATGACAATTCCATACGATTGTTTTCCTGGTACTTACAGTAGCATCCAGCTTTTGTCACTCATCACATTTACATGTTTCTCTTTTCTCGCCATCTGAAGCCACTTGATTTGCCTCCAAAACGTACATGGCAGCTCCCGCAGAGATGTCGATGCCGCACAATGCTAACCTCCTCCAAGAAGTTGTTCAACAGCTACTAGACACTGCACGAATCACTCACTCACTCATCAAAATAAAAACACTCCTCCCTTCGCCGCTGTCTAGACTTCCCACCTTCCTCACTTGCGCACTCGCTAGCGGGTTAAAACTTCATACACCTCGCTCACTACTTCGTCATACTGATTGCAGACAAGCGGTGCATTGACGATCGCAGCGAGCTACCACCAGCAACGCGCACCTGCATTCGCACGAGCTGCTCCAGGCTAGCAGCGGGCGAGGCTTTGATAAGTCTGACCGCTGCTCCGCCGACTGCAGAACGACCTGCGTTGGCACCAGCCTGCATACTTTCGGCAGCTGATGTGGTTGTGATCGTCACGCTACGGCGACGCGGAACCGGCATCAGCTTTGAGCGTTCCTGGTACTCCTCCGACAGCACTTGCATTTTGCGTGCGCCATCCAGATTCAGTGGTGCACTCTCATCAAAGGCTTCCAGCAAACCCATTGAAGCGCACATCGACCTCAGATGGAAGTAGTACTTCGCGTAGGACGCAGCCGACACACGGACATTGTATTCTACGGCACTCAAGTACACAAGCTCCAGCTCATTGATCTGCTTTAGCGAGAGCTCTGGCCAGATCTTAGAAAAATCAGCGTTGGTCATGCTCAGGTCGTCCCAGACCTTTGAAGCCATCACCATCGAGCAAAATACCAAGCGACGCCAGTTCTCACCGCGCAGCTGCAAGAAACCACTTGTGGCCTTCAAGAGACGCTCCACGTACACAAGACTCATAATAATGCACTCTGACTCCATCTGAGCACGGGAAAACACGTGCTTGACAAACGTTTCGATTTCCGACAGAGTGGGGACCACATCTAACATGACATCATAGTCCTCCGCTTCCACGAAGGTAGATGCTTCGGCATCCAATTCAGCCGCAATGGATGGCAGGCGCTGGCGGTCGCGGGCCGTCACAAATATATCAAAACGCGACTCCGGGCGAATAGGGTCCTCAAACGCTTCCATCATATGTGCACGCAACACGGTTGCTACACACTGAATCGTGGCATCTTGATCTGGTACATCCATCGTGCCCATACGCAAGTAAATGGAGTTGGTGCTGTTGGAACGACGTCGCAGTGCGCGTGGCTTATCAGCGGGAGCAGCACCGCTGCTTCCAGGGGCCTGTCGATTCACAAGCGCTGACGCCGAGCTGCCTCGTCCGGCTGTAAATCGCGTCAACTGCAGTGATGGTCTTCCATTTCCATTAGCCGCTCTAATAGCACGAGCATGAGCCTCCAAATCTGAGACTCGCGGCACCAGAGCAGCCAAACGCACACGCTCATGAATAGGCGACGGCATTGCAAGAGACGTGGAAGCATTGCGGCCGACCTCATCTACGTCCAGACCATCACTCCCTTTGCGGGACGTATTCATCACAGGTGTCTCGTAAGACGATAGCGTCCGAAACAGCGACGGACGCTTGTTGGCATCCTGGTTATCCTCCGAGTCACGTCCAATTGACTCGGGTTCTTGCTGAGGCTGGGTTATTTCACCCGGGCCTACGTGCGGCACGCCCATACCTTCCGGAGTCGTGGGCAACGACCGTGTCGCATTCAGAATTAGCTGGCGGGCGGACCCTGGTAAAGACCTCCCCGATCCACTCGCATATGAACTCAAGCTACTGCGTGTGCTAGCCGTACTAGCAGAAGAGCGACAGGAGGACACTTCTTGACCCTTGTGCACCTCATCGGGCGTATTAAAGCCTGAGTTAGATGTCTCACTATCACGAGTATAATAGCCATCACGCAGTTTAAGTCGAATATTATTCTCCATGACGGAAAAAAACTGACGCTTTTCACGCGTTTCAGCCGCTACCAATTCCGCCGGTTTTTTCCATGTCGTTTCACGAGTAATTGGGTGATAATAGTACGGTTTCTTCGATTTAGGATCAATAGCAACACGCCAAGCCATTGGTTCGCGAGTAGGTTTCAATTTTGGTCCAGGAAGTGAGCTCCGAAATGGTGCCAAAGTACCAGTACGTGCTTCGTTAGACGCACCCTGAGAACTAAAGTGACGAGGTCGAGATCCCATATCTCGATCAATATCTCGAGTTCTGTTGTGACTGTTGTCAACAGGAGGTCCAGTTGTCGTAGCCAAACGGCCTCGATTCCCGCTATGGCTGTGCTTATTATTGCCTTCATTTACTGATCGACTGCTTCGACAATTGCCATGAAATGAGCCAATTTTACTATTTCCACGATATTCATCCATTGGTCGTGAATGATGACGAGATTTGCCTTGACTTTCCACATTCCTGTCTCCATGATGACGTTCTTTTTTGACATTATATGGTAACTCGTCCTGATTGATTGCAATCATTGCAGGACGTCCTGCTAACTCCTCGTCTCGATCCATCCTAGGACGATAATTGTCCTGTATTTCATAATGTCGTGATCCTTTTTGGCGTATTGGAATCTGAGGCGGGATCTGATCCGCTTTCGAATCGTGACCCTGCTGACTAGCATACCCTCCAGTGTACCCTCCAGTGTACCCTCCTGTATACCCCATGTACTCCATCGCCTGTTTCCTGTCGTCCTGATGACGTAACGCATTACTAGAGCTTCGTACTCGATGATGTTGCTGCTGACAACGTTGTGGATGTTGAATAGAAGGTCCTGCAGGTGTCTGGGAGTGGCCTGTAGTCGTCGTCATGTTCATTCGAAGAGGCGACACCACACTATTCATTTATCCCAAAATTGGGTTTTTTTCCTCTCTCTTTCGCACAAAAATAATTTAAAAGAAAGTGGCGAAACCCAAAAATCGTGATAAAAAATATCGCAAAAATCTCGATTTTTTTTTCGCGCACTTTGTCGTAATCGTGTGTGTCACTCAAACCAGTAGTTTTAGCAATGATTGTGCCCGAAACCTAAGCTAATCCAAACCGCACCGAATTAATATCGATATTTTTTTTAATAATGACTTGTCTGTCTATTCGAATACTTCTAGTTGTTAAAGATATGTCTGGGAAAAAATCTCCTGATCTTCTGTCATGACTACGTCGTTCTCCTATGCACTAGCTTATTTTGCTGGCTCAACCCGGCGAACTTCATGAAGGACGCTCAAAAAGAACACGTGGGACCAAACCCACAGTACCAAACCGGCTTCACCAAACGGGCCAGCCAAGCCAAGACTCGATCGAGTCAGTGTACGTCAGTCCGCCAAAAAAGCCACGCCATCCCACGTCCTGGTACAGATCGACAGACAAGTACCAAATACTTTACTAGTTTGGTACTACTTGTCTGTCGATCAGTCAATTGTTATAAAGTATACACGTGGTAGAAAGGTTTTGCGTAACTGTGGTTTTCTTTAGAGTCTCTTTAATTTCCTTTAGTTACTCGTCGATTATTCACGGGACTGTCAATCTGTCGTTTTCTATGATGTCGATAGATACTAGTAATGGTCACTGTGACCTGTACTAGAAATCAAATGCGTGACTACGTGCATGGATATGTGTACATTAGTGATAGTGTCAGATTGGAACACCAAAGAAGCTGTACAGACATCGAACAAGATCGTATGAAGTAAAGGTTTATTATCACGATGATAACTACATTCACGCTCCTCTATCGTCGTCAACAAACATCCATGTGTCCATCTACCATTCAGTTCATCCAGATGATACAATGATTTAGTCGGGATGGGGGTGCTAGGCGTCCAAGACATGGGTCCCGTGCTCGAAGCAGAAACAGGCGTTTACTCACCCGAGGACAGTGGGTGGTCGTATTCTGACTGTTTGTCGAGCTACAGTGATTGCGCAGATGTAGACGAACGGACACTGTGCTTCTAAGCCGTCACGATCGCGGCCGAGTAGTGTGATACCTTCAGAGTCACATATGTGCCAACGAAGGGCTCCGTACCACATTCCACCTTAATGAGGTATTGATTGGTATTGAGCTTGACGTAGTGAAAGAACTCCATGAGGTAACCACGGAAGGCGCTCACCTGCTGGGTAGCAACGAAAGAGTACACATTCATGTCTCCGTTCTTACCCACGTAGTAGTGCCACTGCTGGCCTGCGATGATCGCTGTAATCCCTGTTAGCCCCTATAGGCAAAGCACCGCCGATGGCGGCCAGCCAAATCATGATCTCGTTCTCTTTCTTCCCTCTTGGTGTCGAAGACGTGAACAGGTCGTAGGCAACATCGGCTACGGTGTCACGTTTGATGTTGGATACCGTGTAGTCCATACGGGAATTGATTGCCTTCACTTTAGACAAAAGTACAGGGTTCATTTTGAGGGCGGCATTCGCAAAAGACTTAACCTGCGTGTGGGTGTTGACATTGTACGGGTACGTGTATGTTGTACTCCAGGAGACGAAACCGTGACCTTCACCAGTCAGGTCTGGGTAGAATACACCGTCGATGCTCGTCAGTGTTCACTGGTACGCGTGCACGCTTTTTCAACGACTGTATCATTCCACAATCAAAAGCTGTCGGGGTTGTAGGAAAGCCCCTGGTATGATTAGGACCTGGTACCGCGCCATTAGATCATCCGAACAGAAGGTGATGAAACAATCATTTGTGAACTTATCGATATTGTCTGTGTATTGAACCGCCAAACGTGGAAAACAAATTTTGCTTTGCGCAGTTTTGTCTTATCCTAATCAAGAGCTGACTGACCTAAGTACACAGTGGAATACCGACACGCGCAAAAGTTTTCTTTAGTAAAAATGGCGGTGCATTAGCCCTTTTTGCTGCCTAAAACTCGCTACTTGTCCTGCGACAGATAGTCCGTCTGCAAGTAAAATTAAGAACCAAGACAGTTCAGGTAGGACAGCAACCAGGATACATTCTTTTATATTGCGAAAACCACAACGTCCATACTCTTTTTCATATTTTGAGTGCTGCCGACACAATCTAACTCCTTATTTGGTGAGAATTAAAAATATCTCATCAATCCACTCGCAATGAAGCAAGCGGACTTACGGTCCCAATCTTTGATCGAGTCATTAGTGCGACGGGTGTCGTAGTCAATGCAACTAAAATGTTAAGACTGCTGATTTTCAGCGATAGTCCGTAAAGTCTGTCGATAGCAACGACGGCAAGTATCGAGCTTACTGAGCTGAGAGCATTATGCCTTAAAACGGCTACGTGTGTGAATGACGACAGGAGGTCTATCCTATCCTATCAAGGACTGCAAAGGTCCAATGAAGCGGTGCTTCAGACTCTTACACCTCGACTTGCTCCATCGCTTGCTCATTTACCAGCAGTATGCCGACGTACTCGGCTGTATGTTGCATTAACTGTTGTAGGTCATGACGACGGGAGCATGTCTTTACTACTGATGGGCAAGAGATGACAACATGTAGGCAGCGCTAAATTGATGCTAATGTGGTTTTAGTATTCTTATCTTTCGTCGTCAAAAAAATCCCCTGGTCTTCTGTCATGACTACGTCGTTCTCCTATCCACTAGCTTATTTTGCTGGCTCAACCCGGCGAACTTCATGAAGGACGCTCAAAAAGAACACGTGGGACCAAACCCACAGTACCAAACCGGCTTCACCAAACGGGCCAGCCAAGCCAAGACTCGATCGAGTCAGTGTACGTCAGTCCGCCAAAAAAGCCACGGCATCCCACGTCCTGGTACAGATCGACAGACAAGTACCAAATACTTTACTAGTTTGGTACTACTTGTCTGTCGATCAGTCAATTGTTATAAAGTATACACGTGGTAGAAAGGTTTTGCGTAACTGTGGTTTTCTTTAGAGTCTCTTTAATTTCCTTTAGTTACTCGTCGATTATTCACGGGACTGTCAATCTGTCGTTTTCTATGATGTCGATAGATACTAGTAATGGTCACTGTGACCTGTACTAGAAATCAAATGCGTGACTACGTGCATGGATATGTGTACATTAGTGATAGTGTCAGATTGGAACACCAAAGAAGCTGTACAGACATCGAACAAGATCGTATGAAGTAAAGGTTTATTATCACGATGATAACTACATTCACGCTCCTCTATCGTCGTCAACAAACATCCATGTGTCCGTCTACCATTCAGTTCATCCAGATGATACAATGATTTAGTCGGGATGGGGGTGCTAGGCATCGAAGACATGGGTCCCGTGCTCGAAGCAGAAACAGGCGTTTACTCACCCGAGGACAGTGGGTGGTCGTATTCTGACTGTTTGTCGAGCTACAGTGATTGCGCAAATGTAGACGAACGGACACTGTGCTTCTAAGCCGTCACGATCGCGGCCGAGTAGTGTGATACCTTCAGAGTCACATCTGTGCCAACGAAGGGCTCCGTACCACATTCCACCTTAATGAGGTATTGATTGGTATTGAGCTTGACGTAGTGAAAGAACTCCATGAGGTTACCACGGAAGGCGCTCACCTGCTGGGTAGCAACGAAAGAGTACACATTCATGTCTCCGTTCTTACCCACGTAGTAGTGCCACTGGTAGCCTGCGATGGTCGCTGTAATCAATTTTTGGTTCCCTATAGGCAAAGCACCGCCGATGGCGGCCAGCCAAATCATGATCTCGTTCTCTTTCTTCCCTCTTGGTGTCGAAGACGTGAACAGGTCGTAGGCAACATCGGCTACGGTGTCACGTTTGATGTTGGATACCGTGTAGTCCATACGGGAATTGATTGCCTTCACTTTAGACAAAAGTACAGGGTTCATTTTGAGGGCGGCATTTGCAAAAGACTTAACCTGCGTGTGGGTGTTGACATTGTACGGGTACGTGTATGTTGTACTCCAGGAGACGAAACCGTGACCTTCACCAGTCAGGTAGGTACACTGCTTACTGTTGGGGCCAGCGATTTGGTGATTCCACATGTTATTGTAGATAATGTACTCACCCGACACCGCGGTGCTGAAATTGTCACACGGGTTGGCCGAAGTACTCAACATGGCCGCTGCAGTCAAAGCAACACCGAGCAACACTTTCATGTTTGTCTTGTAATGGAAGCTTTGCCGAAAAGGTGAACTGAAGCAGGATGATTGGGACGTGGCCGATTGTTAAATGAGCTCTCAACTGGTAAATGGGATCCTACATGTTGGTTGTGCTGTTCAAAGCATGGATGGGAGTCGTTTTAAGATCTCGAAAGCACGAGGTCATTGCGATTGAACGAGCATGCATAAATCAAGCTTGTCATATCGCTACGAAGGTTTTTGTATGTATGACATTTACAGCTCTAGTTTCGATATAACTACAGGTATTTCTACAGCTGTCTTGCGATCCTCCCGTATGGCTGGGTAGAATACACCGTCGATGCTCGTCAGTGTTCACTGGTACGCGTGCACGCTTTTTCAACGACTGTATCATTCCACAATCAAAAGCTGTCGGGGTTGTAGGAAAGCCCCTGGTATGATTAGGACCTGGTACCGCGCCATTAGATCATCCGAACAGAAGGTGATGAAACAATCATTTGTGAACTTATCGATATTGTCCGTGTATTGAACCGCCAAACGTGGAAAACAAATTTTGCTTTGCGCAGTTTTGTCTTATCCTAATCAAGAGCTGACTGACCTAAGTACACAGTGGAATACCGACACGCGCGAAAGTTTTCTTTAGTAAAAATGGCGGTGCATTAGCCCTTTTTGCTGCCTAAAACTCGCTACTTGTCCTGCGACAGATAGTCCGTCTGCAAGTAAAATTAAGAACCAAGACAGTTCAGGTAGGACAGCAACCAGGATACATTCTTTTATATTGCGAAAACCACAACGTCCATACTCTTTTTCATATTTTGAGTGCTGCCGACACAATCTAACTCCTTATTTGGTGAGAATTAAAAATATCTCATCAATCCACTCGCAATGAAGCAAGCGGACTTACGGTCCCAATCTTTGATCGAGTCATTAGTGCGACGGGTGACGTAGTCAATGCAACTAAAATGTTAAGACTGCTGATTTTCAGCGATAGTCCGTAAAGTCTGTCGATAGCAACGACGGCAAGTATCGAGCTTACTGAGCTGAGAGCATTATGCCTTAAAACGGCTACGTGTGTGAATGACGACAGGAGGTCTATCCTATCCTATCAAGGACTGCAAAGGTCCAATGAAGTGGTGCTTCAGCCCTCGACTTGCTCCATCGCTTGCTCATTTACCAGCAGTATGCCGACGTACTCGGCTGTATGTTGCATTAACTGTTGTAGGTCATGACGACGGGAGCATGTCTTTACTACTGATGGGCAAGAGATGACAACATGTAGGCAGCGCTAGATTGATGCTAATGTGGTTTTAGTATTCTTATCTTTCGTCGTCAAAAAAATCCCCTGATCTTCTGTCATGACTACGTCGTTCTCCTATGCACTAGCTTATTTTGCTGGCTCAACCCGGCGAACTTCATGAAGGACGCTCAAAAAGAACACGTGGGACCAAACCCACAGTACCAAACCGGCTTCACCAAACGGGCCAGCCAAGCCAAGACTCGATCGAGTCAGTGTACGTCAGTCCGCCAAAAAAGCCACGCCATCCCACGTCCTGGTACAGATCGACAGACAAGTACCAAATACTTTACTAGTTTGGTACTACTTGTCTGTCGATCAGTCAATTGTTAAAAAGTATACACGTGGTAGAAAGGTTTTGCGTAACTGTGGTTTTCTTTAGAGTCTCTTTAATTTCCTTTAGTTACTCGTCGATTGTTCACGGGACTGTCAATCTGTCGTTTTCTATGATGTCGATAGATACTAGTAATGGTCACTGTGACCTGTACTAGAAATCAAATGCGTGACTACGTGCATGGATATGTGTACATTAGTGATAGTGTCAGATTGGAACACCAAAGAAGCTGTACAGACATCGAACAAGATCGTATGAAGTAAAGGTTTATTATCACGATGATAACTACATTCACGCTCCTCTATCGTCGTCAACAAACATCCATGTGTCCGTCTACCATTCAGTTCATCCAGATGATACAATGATTTAGTCGGGATGGGGGTGCTAGGCGTCGAAGACATGGGTCCCGTGCTCGAAGCAGAAACAGACGTTTACTCACCCGAGGACAGTGGGTGGTCGTATTCTGACTGTTTGTCGAGCTACAGTGATTGCGCAAATGTAGACGAACGGACACTGTGCTTCTAAGCCGTCACGATCGCGGCCGAGTAGTGTGATACCTTCAGAGTCACATCTGTGCCAACGAAGGGCTCCGTACCACATTCCACCTTAATGAGGTATTGATTGGTATTGAGCTTGACGTAGTGAAAGAACTCCATGAGGTTACCACGGAAGGCGCTCACCTGCTGGGTAGCAACGAAAGAGTACACATTCATGTCTCCGTTCTTACCCACGTAGTAGTGCCACTGGTAGCCTGCGATGGTCGCTGTAATCAATTTTTGGTTCCCTATAGGCAAAGCACCGCCGATGGCGGCCAGCCAAATCATGATCTCGTTCTCTTTCTTCCCTCTTGGTGTCGAAGACGTGAACAGGTCGTAGGCAACATCGGCTACGGTGTCACGTTTGATGTTGGATACCGTGTAGTCCATACGGGAATTGATTGCCTTCACTTTAGACAAAAGTACAGGGTTCATTTTGAGGGCGGCATTCGCAAAAGACTTGACCTGCGTGTAGGTGTTGACATTGTACGGGTACGTGTATGTTGTATTCCAGGAGACGAAACCGTGACCTTCACCAGTCAGGTAGGTACACTGCTTACTGTTGGGGCCAGCGATTTGGTGATTCCACATGTTATTGTAGATAATGTACTCACCCGACACCGCGGTGCTGAAATTGTCACACGGGTTGGCCGAAGTACTCAACATGGCCGCTGCAGTCAAAGCAACACCGAGCAACACTTTCATGTTTGTCTTGTAGTGGAAGCTTTGCCGAAAAGGTGAACTGAAGCAGGATGATTGGGACGTGGCCGATTGTTAAATGAGCTCTCAACTGGTAAATGGGATCCTACATGTTGGTTGTGCTGTTCAAAGCATGGATGGGAGTCGTTTTAAGATCTCGAAAGCACGAGGTCATTGCGATTGAACGAGCATGCATAAATCAAGCTTGTCATATCGCTACGAAGGTTTTTGTATGTATGACATTTACAGCTCTAGTTTCGATATAACTACAGGTATTTCTACAGCTGTCTTGCGATCCTCCCGTATGGCTGGGTAGAATACACCGTCGATGCTCGTCAGTGTTCACTGGTACGCGTGCACGCTTTTTCAACGACTGTATCATTCCACAATCAAAAGCTGTCGGGGTTGTAGGAAAGCCCCTGGTATGATTAGGACCTGGTACCGCGCCATTAGATCATCCGAACAGAAGGTGATGAAACAATCATTTGTGAACTTATCGATATTGTCGGTGTATTGAACCGCCAAACGTGGAAAACAAATTTTGCTTTGCGCAGTTTTGTCTTATCCTAATCGAGAGCTGACTGACCTAAGTCCACAGTGGAATACCGACACGCGCGAAAGTTTCTTTAGTAAAAATGGCGGTGCATTAGCCCTTTTTGCTGCCTAAAACTCGCTCGCTACTTGTCCTGCGACAGATAGTCCGTCTGCAAGTAAAATTAAGAACCAAGACAGTTCAGGTAGGACAGCAACCAGGATACATTCTTTTATATTGCGAAAACCACAACGTCCATACTCTTTTTCATATTTTGAGTGCTGCCGACACAATCTAACTCCTTATTTAGTGAGAATTAAAAATATCTCATCAATCCACTCGCAATGAAGCAAGCGGACTTACGGTCCCAATCTTTGATCGAGTCATTAGTGCGACGGGTGACGTAGTCAATGCAACTAAAATGTTAAGACTGCTGATTTTCAGCGATAGTCCGTGGAGTCTGTCGATAGCAACGACGGCAAGTATCGAGCTTTCTGAACTGAGAGAATTCTTTATTGATACCATGTCAGGGCAAGGTGTCCATTATATTGATAGAAACCATAGTGTGTGACAGGTTCTTAAAGGTTATAAACTCAAGTGCTATATTGTGGGACGGTGTCACCTGTTTGACCGGCTGTCTGACATATGGGACTACAAGGAGAGCATCGTGGAGCTGGGACAGGGAGAGGCAGGGCAACGGCTTGACAGGTGGAACGGCTAAGCAACAACTTGATAGTTGGGACAAGGAGATACGGTTGCAGTGTAGGGCCACCGCACGAAATGGGCATGTAAGATCAGTGCCATCTGACTAGTACATGGTCAAGTTGTAGTGCAGCTGGGGCACATGTTGTAGTATTAACATACAAAAAAGTAATAATGCTAAATATATTTTACTTTTACTTCTGCCTCTACTTTTAATGCTTCAAGGGCACAACATTTATTTTTTACAGGTTATGCGCCCAATCAAGCGCGATGCCAGCTGCTCAAGCTGATCCCGTCGTGGTATGTGACGGTCCTAACAAGACCGCTGACAACCACTTGGAAGAGAAGTCGGCAACACCCGGGGGGGGGGGGGGGGCGGGCCAGGTGCTGGCCATGCTTGAGGGCCTATCCAAACGGGTAACAGGATAAGAGCTCGTTACTGTCTTAACTAAAAGGGCGTTGAGGAAGCGCTCGTATTAAACTTGTAAATATACTTCTGTTTTATTTTTGTCTGTTTTAATTCGCAGTAAGTGCGAGTATGCTTCCTAGCTACTTAAATAAGAGTTTATTATTGTCTAACTATTGAGCCTGGCGCGCAGGGTCCATGCTGCTCAGTTGTGTGTCACTAAGCAGGTTTGAGGTTGTGCAGTTGGAGTTTCGGTGAAAAAGAAGTATGCTATTTGCTTACGTTGTAGAAGCGCAACTCAAAGAGAGGATGATGTAATGAGGCAACCTATTACATAAGTAGTTATAGGGTAAGTACATTATTACATAAGTAGGAATAGGGCAGTATCCAATTAGCGGATACTGCGCGTCATTTTATTATTGGTTTATGGCCGAATTCACAAAAATGGCGTCAACCCCGTTGACGCGTGTACGACATATTGTGTGCCAACTCAGCGAGTGGTAAAAATGCACTCCAACTTGTGAATGACGTAGCATAACTTCGAAGAACATCTTCGAGGACCCGGTTCACGCGCTCGGCTTGCCCATCCATTTCCGGATGGACCGCTGTCGAAATCTGTAGTTTTGTCCCGAGTAGCTCGAACAGTGAAGTCCAAAATGCGGATGAGAATCGCGGATCACGGTCCGAAACAATGTTTCTGGAAGGCCATGATGGCGGAACACCGCGTCAATGAAGTTCATAGCGATCTCAACCGCGGTGATCTTAGCGTGAACAGGCACTAGGTGTGTCATCTTGTTGAATCTGTCAGCAAACACCAGGATACCCGTTCGAGCTTGGCTCCGGGCACGAGCCCGAAGATGAAGTCCATCGAAACTGATCGCCAGGCCTCAGCTGCAATCGGCAACGGTCTCAGGGGAGCCTGCGACGATGGAGATGGCTTCACACGCTGGCAGATTTTACACGTTCGAATCCAGTTGCGTACGTACTTATACAAGAGGGATATGAAGAATTCCAGAGACACAGCCGCGAAAGTCTTTCCCCGACAAATCACCTCCATCAGGGACATCGTGATACTCGTGGATGACTTGAAAACGCCAATCCATGTCGTTAACGATCAACGTGCGAGAAGCATCGAATTGATCGATGATGTATAGAAGCAAATCTCCTTTTAAACTGTATCGAGAACGTGATCGCGCTTGTTTCGTGATAAAGCTCCCAGTATAACATCGCTGGGACCACGCAGTATATAATCGATAATGTCCGCATAATGTGGAAGCTCTTGTACGCTGCGACGATCTCGTCGAATAGGCACAGCTCGGGTGTAACCCGAGTTAAATCTAGTGATACACATATCGCACATCGATCATCATCATCCTCGTCATCAGTCCGAGGATCGTAGTCGGGGCGTCGTGACAGAGCGTCGGCAAAAATGTTGGTCTTGCCTGAATTATAATGTACGACGACATTGTATTCGAAGAAGAATGAGAGCCATCGTGCCATCCGTTGGGACCATGGTGGGCTCTTTATTGCTGTGCGCAGCGATGCATGGTTAGTATACAAAGCAAATTTACGTTCACCAAGCAGCTGTACGCGAAACTTGATGAGTGCGTAGCGCATAGCTAGCAACTCCTTGTCGTAAACCGGGTAGTTTTTCTCAGCTGGTTTCATCAGTATCGACTGATAGCCCACGACTCGTTCAGACAGGGTTACCAGACCCTCGCAGAGCGTCCTATGATTGTGACGCAAATCTTTCTTCACGTGCTGGCTTTGGCTCAGCGCTTCGAGGACGCGTCATATGATACTCGTTTTGTCACGGTAACCACCTCGATGGTGATTAGACACACTTGTTCCACAGTGCTTCCCTTAAAATCACGTAGGAAAGATTCAAGGAGAGCCCTGGAAGGCTTGTAATAGAAGACGCGTCGCGAGGTGGACTCGCCGCTTCAATGTATCGGCGTCTTTGTGAGCTCCATTCCACATACACGATAGCGTAGACACATTCCAACGCTGAAATCTCGATGCTGTTGTCCCTATCGTGCTTCGAGCCACTACTCGAAGCTGGCGAACCCACCCCCTCTAGGCAAAAGATGTACCTCATCCATAATGCCGGAAACACTTGACTGGAGTAGCCCAAACTCGAACTTCTACACTTGATGCGGGAGCTCCTGCTTTGCCGTCGTAGACCCGTGTAGGAACCTCTACTAAACCACAATTTGCACCTGTGGGAACCTCCGTTCGACCATCTTGTTCTCGCGTGGGGACTCCTGTCCGTCCACGTTGTACACGTGTCGGATCCCCTGATCAACCACAATTTGCCCATGTAGAAACCTAGGTCGACCACAATGGGTGATGATGGGAAACTCCGGTTCAACCATCATGCTCACACGCGAAGACTCCTTTCCGTCCACGTCAAACTCGTTGGTGATCTCTTGCTCGTCGTCACATTTCCCTTGTGGGAGCCCCTGCTCAACCACGATAGGTGTAGATGGGAATCCCGGTTCAACCACTGCATGTGCATGCGGGAACCCTGTTCAACCTCATTAATGACGCGCGGGAACCCCTGTTAGAACGCGTCGCCCTCGTCTTTCTCCTCGCTGTGTAGCGAGAAGTTATTGTCACTTGTGTCTCGAAGAACAGCACAAGCAGTACAGAGAGGGTCATCGCTCGCTCTGTGCACCGCCTACGTCGTGGAATCACGATCCACGATTGTGAAGTTAGGCCAGTCACTTGGAGACACCAAGAGATGTGTAAACACTTCACTGACGTCTAACTTGCGTCGAAGTCTCACTGATCTGGCTAACCAGTCAATATAAGACTTATAACATGCCAACCATGGCATGCCCAGTATGCAATTGAATGCATAATTCATCGCGATCACCAAGAAATATTCATTACTGCGAAAACCGTCATGGTGTGACAAGTGGAACTTATCAATTAGTGCGGTCAAGAGCTCATGGGGTTGTCAAAAGGTAAATTACCTTAGCCACCAATTATCGGCGGAAGGGTTGGAGGCCCACCTTAAGGACCTCCAGTCCTTTATCGATACACCGTTCCCACCACCCTAAAAGCTATGCAGTCGTTTCTCTGGAGTTCCAATTACTACAGTCGGTTCCTAGAAGACTACGCAATTTATGCGTCCATCTTGCACGAACTAAGGGAATTGGACTATCACGTATTACGACACCGGATAAGTAGGATTAGAGACATACAGGAAGATTACCAGGAGGAGGACCGATGGGCCCGGGTGCTGGTGGTATTTGCTACGTTAAAGAGTAAAACCGCCACTGCCCCAATCTTCCGTCTTTTCGATCCAGACCGGGAACCTTTCATTATGGTCTATTCTAGCGAGTGTGCTTTCTTGGCGTC